TGGAACACTAAGTAAGATGGAACACTAATTAAGATGGAACACTAAGTAAGATGGAACACTAAGTAAGATGGAACACTTAGTATGATGGAACACTTAGTATGATGAAACACTAAGCAAAATGGAACACTAAGTAAGATGGAACACTAAGTAAGATTGAACACTAATTAAGATGGAACACTAAGTAATATGGACCACTAGGTAAGATGGAACACTAAGTAAGATGGAACACTAAGTCAGATGGAGCACTAAGTAAGGTGGAACACTAATTAAGATGGAAAATTAAGAAAGATGGAACACTAAGTAAGGTTGAACACTAAATAAGATGGAACACTAAGTAAGATGGAACACTAATTAAGATGGAACACTAAGTAAGATGGAACACTAAGTAAGATGGAACACTTAGTATGATGGAACACTTAGTATGATGAAACACTAAGCAAGATGGAACACTAAGTAAGATGAAACACTAATTAAGATGGAACACTAATTAAGATGGAACACTAAGTAAGATGGAACATTAGGTAAGATGGAACACTAAGTAAGATGGAACAATTAGTAAGATTGAACACTAATTAAGATGGAAAACTAATGAAGATGGAACACTAAGTAAGATTGAACACTAAGTAAGGTGGAACACTAATTAAGATGGAACACTAAGTAAGATTGAACACTAAGTAAGATTGAACACTAATTAAGATGGAACACTAAGTAAGATGGAACACTTAGCAGGATCGAACACTTAGTAGGATTGAACACTTAGTATGATGGAACACTTAGTATGATGGAACACTAAGCAAGATGGAACACTAATTAAAGTGGAACACTAAATAAGATGGAACACTGAGCAAGATGGAACACTAGGTTAGATGGAAAACTAGGTAAGATGGAACACAAAGTAAGATGGAACACTAAGTAAGATGGAACACTGAGCAAGATGGAACACTGAGCAAGATGGAACACTAGTTAAGATGGAACACAAGGTAAGATGGAACACTAGGTAAGATGGAACACTAAGTAAGATGGAACACTAAGTCAGATGGAACACTAAATAAGGTGGAACACTAATTAAGATGGAACATTAAGAAAGATGGAACACTAAGTAAGATTGAACACTAATTAAGATGGAACACTAAGTAATATGGAACACTAGGTAAGATGGAACACTAAGTAAGATGGAACACTGAGCAAGATGGAACACTAGGTAAGATGGACGGACCACTAGGTAAGATGGAACACTAAGTAAGATGGAACACTAAGTCAGATGGAACACTAAGTAAGGTGGAACATAATTAAGATGGAACATTAAGTAAGATGGAACACTAATTAAGATTGAACACTAATTAAGATGGAACACTAAGTAAGATGGAACACAAGGTAAGATGGAACACTATGTTAAAACACTAAGTATCAAACATTTTTTATCTTGTTCAGTTAGTAAATGAGCCTATATTTTTGAGTTGCTCCGCAAAAAAAACTTTTAGAAAATGTCCAGAAGTGTGAATTTCTGTATATTGTCGTGTATGATAAATGTTTAGCGTAGATTCGCTAATATCAAGACAAACATTGAAGAGATTATGCCTAATACAATACATATGTCAGATACAGAGAAAGTTAGAATACATAAGTAATCACCTGATTTATCTCAGGGTTTCATCTCCAATAAATAATTTTAAAATTTCAGCGTTGTTTTGTTATTTGAAAGACAAACAGAGACTAGAATATAATTTATCCGAAAAATGAATGCTTAATTAAATAAATTTACACAATTAAGTTTACTTTGTTTAAAAAAAAAAGTGTCCGGCATTTTCTAGAAGTAATATAAACAATCTCAAATCAAATTATTTATTTTCTTGTGGATAATTATAATTTTAATTAAAATTTGAAGCTATTATCAAAACGCAAAACTAAATAAACATAAATGTATCGCGGGGGAAATGGGTTCGAAAGTGAAAACTAACTGAAGAATCCTAATCTAGGCTACAAAGGGAACAGATGCATGTAATATTTAGGGAGATTAATGATTAATGCAAGTTTTTTGAATTGCTTTGTTACATCAGTCTAGTGTTTACCGTTTACAAACACACTCAGCTCAGTATCAAATAATTTTGAGAAATGAAAGGTTTTAAACATTTACCTGGGCCTACCAGTTACCCTTTCATAGGTATTTTATCTTTCACTTACTTGGGTACCCAGCTTAGCCTGGAAAATAAGTTTTCCATATAAAAAAGGCAAGGCCTAAACATTTTAGACTTTTTAAACCAAGAAAAGAAAAATCTGATGATTCTGCCGAGTTTCCAAATTAAAATATGAGGCAAATCGGTCCATGGGTTCATGAGTTATGATCAGACATCCAAACAAACAGACAGACAAACAGATATCACTACTTTATATAAAAAGATACCACGCACTCGCAGGCTAGTGTAGTGCAGAACATTACAAGAAAAATCTTCATTTAAATCTTATTTTACAGGATTTTCAACTTTGGATAATATAATATACTAACAAAAAACTTGGTAAATTCTTTTTATCTTATAATACAGGATTAACCCCCTTTTTTAATCGGATAGGATTTTTAAAACATTGTAATGCACAATTCTCAGATATATTAGATTTTTGAATGGTTAAATTTGTAATTGAATAATTGAATTGATTCTCTAATTGGTTAACGTAATCCTCTTGAATCTTTAACTTTGAATCGGTTATTCATGAGTTGAACTGTCGTAAGGTAGTTCAACGACTTCTTGCAACTAATCAAATCTGATTCCTGGTGGATTAAATCTAATCCAATCTTAATTCTACTCTTTTTATCTAGGAAACCCACCCTTACCTTAGTTTTACTCTCTTGTATCTAGAAAACATACTTAAACCTTATTTGTACTCTCCTTGTATCTAAGAAACCTACTCCAACCTTAGTTCTACTCTCATTATATCTAGGAATCCTACTCCAACCTTAGTTCTACTATCTTTGTATCTAGGAAACCTACTCCAACCTTAGTTTTACTCTCCTTGTATCTAGGAAAACTACTCCAACCTTAGTTCTACTCTCTTTGTATCTATGAAACTTATTCCAGCCTTAGTTCTACTCTCCTCGTATCTAGGAAACCTACTCCAACCTTAGTTTTACTCTCCTTGTATCTAGGAAACCTACTCCAACCTTATTTCTACTCTCCTTGTATCTAGGAAACCTACTCCAACCTTAGTTCTACTCTCCTTGTATCTAGGAAACCTACTAGGATACAAGGCCCCTGGAGTAGGGAGGAGTCCTTCTCAAACTCCGCATATTTGGAAATATTTTAATCAACAGTTCGGACCCCTTGTCAGGTAGCAATTTAACGTGAATGTTCGTAAATTTTAAGGTAATCAGAGGTAGGCATTTATAAATAGCAAGTATTATTTAAACTATACGACTGGTTCAATACTCTCTGGTCCAAGTTGACATGGGTGACACAGAGACAGTTTTCCCCCCACTCTGAAAGAATCGAGTCTTTGTCACAAACTCTGCTTTTCTAATCCCTATATCTTTGCAACCTATAAATGTCGTATACCTTAGATATATTTCAAACTAAAAATTATGTTGAATCAAACAAACTAAGTTTAAAATATCAATGGTTGAAACCTTCAGGTTGCAAAGATATACGGTTTCCTGAAAAATTTTTTTTAGTTTTTTATCTACTAGCTATCTATTTAGTAACTAAATACCTCATCTATTCATCTACTTATTAACTAATCACCTCATCTATTCATCTATTTATTAACTAATCACCTCATCTATTCATCTATTTATTAACTAATCACCTCATCTATTCATCTATTTATTAACTAATCACCTCATCTATTCATCCATTTATTAACTAATCACCTCATCTATTCATCTATTTATCAACTAACCACCTCATCTATTCATCTATTTTTCAACTAAACACCTCATCTATTCATTTATTTATCAACTAATCACCTCATCTATTCATTTATTCATCTTCTATCAACGAATTACCTCGCTTATTCATCTATTCGAATTTATCAACTAAATTCATCTATTCATTTATTTATCAACTAATCACCTCATCTATTCATCTATTTATTAACTAATCACCTCATCTATTCATCTATTTATAAACTAATCACCTCATCTATTCATCTATTTATCAACTAATCACCTCATCTATTCATTTATTCATCTTCTATCAACTAATTACCTCGTTTATTCATCTATTCTAATTTATCAACTAAATTCATCTATTCATTTATTTATCAACTAATAACCTCATCTATTCATATATTCACAATCTATTTATCAGCTTATCATCAGTTCATCTACTCCCCTATTCATCTATTCATCTATTCATCTATTTATCAACTAATTACCTAATCTATTCATCTATTTATCTATTTATCAATTAATTACCCTCATCTTTTCATCTATTCATTCATTAATTCATCTATTTATCAACTAATTATCTAATCTATTCATCTATTCATAATATCATCAATAACCCAACCCAACTATTAAACTTTTCATCTTTTGCTGAGTCCTGCGATGAGGTATTGTGTTTAAGTTTGAATGGATGAAATCTAAATAAAGAGAGATTTGTTCATTTAGAACAATTAACATAAGAGGTTTAGTTTAGCTGGTACTTGTAATATCTGAAGGATATATCTCAACTTTAGATCAAACCAATCAGCAGATTAAAGAGATTACTGCACCACCAGGGCGAAACCGAACACAAGTTGCGGGGCGGAAGTGAATTAATTTATTGTATTTAGACTAGAATTAATTCATTGGATTTAGACAGAAAAAAACTAGGAAAGGTTTAGACTAGAATGGACTCTCTTTATTTAGACTGGAAATACCTGACATTAAGAATAAAATTAAATCAATGTATTTAAACTTGGGAAAGGTTTAGACTAGAATGAACTACTTGTATTTAGACTAGATAAACCTAGGAAAGGTTTAGACTAGAATACACTCCAATTACGTATTTAGACTAGATAAACCTAGGAAAGGTTTAGACTAGAATACACTCCAATTACGTATTTAGACTAGATAAACCTAGGAAAGGTTTAGACTATAATGAACTCCTTGTATTTAGACTAGATAAACCTAGGACAGGTTTAGACTAGAATACACTTCAATTACGTATTTAGACTTAGGCTGTACAAATGTTTAGAATAGAATGGACTCTCTTTATTCAGACTCGATATACCTGGGAATAAACCAATGGTTCTAGTATTTGATCCTAACCTAGCTGAACAAGTTTACAGAAACGAAGGAGTTTATCCAATCAGGTAATCACTAATCATCCGAGGAGGTTAAAAGCATTAAATTTTGATAATTTTAATAATTCACATAATAGTTTCCTATGGCCAGAATATTTCATTGATTTTTTATGTGAAAGATGGATCCCATGTCAGGCTTCGACATCCGTCTTGTGTTTATATTAGCGCCCAGAGACAGTAGACTGCAATAAAAAAGATGTGCACACTTCTGAAATAACTTTCCTTGCCTTTCATCGTTGAATCATCCCATTCTTGCATCATAAGTCGTTTTCACAGATAGATCAACCATTGTCAGAGTTTGGTAACTTTGCCAACATTAACCTAGCAACAGAGTACTTTTTCCATAGAAAATAATTTAAAAGTCTGCTGTTTTATAATTTGTTTTAATGTATAATGTGTGACGACGACGCTGCAGGGATAGCTTTAAAAATTCAAATTCATTTTGATAACATTTTAAAATATAAGAGACAAATTATTAAATTTCTATTTTTCAGGCCGGGGTTTGATTCTTTGGGTTATATCAGGTTATAAAAATTCCAACATTAACTAAGATTTCTATAATTCGTTTTTTTTACATATTTTAAAAATATAGGACAAGAGAATTAGCTTTATAAATAACATCATATAGTGACATATTTCATTGTTTATAAACTAGCCAGAACTTTATTATTATCAGAGACTCCAGAGTTTACTTTGTGTCTTAATTTCACGTGACCCTTTAGTTGTAGATTGGCCTCATATGGCAATTTACAACAGTAGACCATAGTCCATAAACCTTTGTCCACAGAGACCTAAGACATCCGTATTTTTCTAACTTTAAATTGATTGTCCTTGTGAACCGTGGGACGTTTTTCCCACGGAGTGCATCATGTAAACTCAGGATCTCAACACTTCATTTTCAGCTAAAAAATATTGAGACCTGGCCGTGCGTCGTTAATGATTAATAAGACTTGAAATTAAGTCTATTTACTTCATTACTTCTTCGAAAAAAACAAAACATTTTTTTGCATTGTATTTTTACTTTACACTTGTCCAATGTCCATGCAATAGGAGTAAGTTAAAGGAAACTGGGGGGAATCAAGGGCTAATTACGTCATCAGGAGATGAATGGAGAGAGTTCAGAAATAAGGTGATTAAAAGAACTGTCAGTGATAAAGTTGTTCGAGTTGTTCATAGGAATATTTATCTTATGATTAGGATATCTACCCTTCGGATTTTTAAAGTGATTTTCTAATCTTAAAAAATTTAGATCATTGATATTTTCAAGTTTTGATTGGTAAGAAAAGGAATTGAGTTTTTACCGCAAACTCTGATTTTCTTGTCGCTTTATCTTTACAACCCGATGTTGTAGGCCATTGATAGATCAAATAGTTTAAGTATGAGAAATTTAATATTACACCATCATATTGCAAAGGGATTAGAACATTTTTATTTGTGGCAAAAACTCAATTCCTTTCTACCCTGGACCGTACTTTATAATCTGTAAACTAGTCTTGTGGTTAATTTATCATAAAAAAATGATTTCCTTTTTTGTAGTTATACAGGGTTTTTAAGTTTTTTTATACGCTAGGTTCAGTACAGTGTTTTGCATCCTAAAGTTAGAGAGACTTACTTAACAACCGTACACGAGGTACAGTATTTTAGCAGTACAGTACAGTACAGTGCAATACAGTACAATACAATACTATGCAATACATTACTATAAATTACAATGTAGTACAGTACAGTACAGTACAGTACAGTACAGTACAGTACAGTACAGTACAGTACAGTACAGTACAATACAGTACAGTACAGTACAGTACAGTACAAAGTACACTACAGTACATTACACTACACTACAGTACACTACAGTATACTACAGTACAGTAAAGTACAGTACAGTACAGTACAGTACAGTACAGTACAGTACAGTGCAGTACAGTACAGTACAGTTCAGTACAGTTCAGTACAGTACAGTAAAGTACAGTACAGTATAGTACAGTACAGTACAGTTCAGTACAGTACAGACAGTACATGACCGACTGACAAAGTACAGTTTGATACATCTAACTTTGAACAAAAAAAAGAAACTTGGCAACATTATCTTCTGGGCCTGGCTCTGGATTAAATATGTTTTCATTTAACCCTTTTCATAATGGAGAATTTATGTAATAACTTTTATGGACGAAATCTGACCTAACTCTTCTAATATTCATGTTCCATATCGGGCCCTTGTATATAATTTCCAGGTTGAACCAGGACAAGAAACTATTTTGAATATTTTTTCTCAACTAAAATATAATTCAAAATAAGTTTAAAATCTAGTTTTCAAAAATCAATTCTGTTTTCTTTTCTTAAGAGAACAAATAGGTTTTAATCACTGAAATGCAACCGAATGTGTTTGTTTTCTCACCCTGTGTTTAAACTGAAAACTGGACGAGTTACTGGGACGCAAAGTCATATCAGTAACTCCGCATAATCAAAGGTTTTATTGTGCCAATATTGTAGTTTTTTGTCTAGGTAAAAAGTGATCTGTGAAGCCGTTAAATTTGGAACCCAGCTTTTCCTGGAGATTAAGAACCTTCTTTTAGTTTCAATGAGTTCGCCAATCAAAATTTGAGGCAAATCGGTTCCTGAGTTCTAATCGGAAAAATAAACAGACTTTTTTTTAGCCAATTGAGACCAAAATATGTTTTGATGGCTCACGTTTTTTATTATCAATTCTTTAGATTGGGGTGGAGTTCGCAGATCATATACAGCAGAATATGAAGGATGGAGAAGATGCTACACAGGTTTTTATTAAAATAATTGTAAGGATAATATGGAGGTTTTTATATTTTGAAAACAAAACATTAGGTGTATTTAATTTTGATTTTTCGTAGGAATTCTACAAATGGGCACTAGAGTCTATTGTGGCTATCTCCCTAGGGAAAATAGTTTGAAAAAAATATAAATATTTGAGAAAGAGCGAATGTTTTAGAAAAAACCATTTCATAAAAAAAAGGAATTTATTTTAAATTTTCACACCTTGATTCCACGAGAGAAAAGCACATGAATGCTTCAGTATCTCCCAAATAAAAATTCCCGCTTTCTTTCCGCGAGATTTACCATCCTTTGTTTTGAGTACATTTGTATTTTATGTCTAGAAATTTATGATAAAAGTTGTGTGTATAAAAATGGGAAATTAGTGACAACTTCCAGATGTCAGGATTTAACATTGCAAGATCAAGTTTTAGAGAAATATAGTGTGTTGACAAAACCCCAAATACTTCACACTTTTTTCTCTCAAAGGCTTAGTTATCACCCGATCATAATAAAATTAATATCACAACGTCTTTAGGATGTTAGGAATACATGGCTAAAAAATTATTGGATTTGGTCAACCCTAACAGGATTATATTTTATCAAAATGGTAATAGGCTATGTTTGTTGGGACAAACTGCATACAGAAAGACAGGATAAGATGGTGTTCAGAATATTGTAAAATATGAAAAGACAGGATAAGATGATGTTCAGATTTGTAAAATATGAACAGACAGGATAAGATGGTGTTCAGAATTGTAAAATATGAAAAGACAGGATAAGATGGTGTTCAGAATTGTAAAATATGAAAAGACAGGATAAGATGATGTTCAGATTTGTAAAATATGAACAGGCAGGATAAGATGGTGTTCAGAATTGTAAAATATGAAAAGACAGAATAAAATAATGTTCAGAATTGTAAAATATGAAAAGACAGGATAAGATGATGTTCAGAATTGTAAAATATGAAAAGACAGGATAAGATGATGTTCAGAATTATTGTAAAATATGAAAAGACAAGATAAGATGGTGTTCAGAATTGTAAAATATGAAAAGACAGAATAAGATGGTGTTCAGAATTGTAAATTATGAAAAGACAGAATAAGATGATGTTCAGAATTGTAAATTATGAAAAGAAGAATAAGATGATGTTCACAATTGTAAAATATAAAAAGACAGAATAAGATGGTGTTCAGAATTGTAAATTATGAAAAGACAGGATAAGATGATGTTCAGAATTGTAAAATATGAAAAGACAGAATAAGATGATGTTCAGAATTGTAAAATATGAAAAGACAGGATAAGATGGTGTTCAGAATTGTAAATTATGAAAAGACAGAATAAGATGATGTTAAGAATTGTAAATTATGAAAAGACAGAATAGATGGTGTTCAGAATTGTAAAATATGAAAAGACAGGATAAGATAGTGTTCAGAATTGTAAAATATGAAAAGACAGGATAAGATGTTGTTCAGAATTGTAAAATATGAAAAGACAGGATAAGATGGTGTTCAGAATTGTAAATTATGAAAAGAAACTTGAAACAAGAAACAGAATATTCTAATCTGGAAAATATGCTTAGTGTTAGATCAATGTCGGAATCGTGTCCTAGTTTTAGATTGAAAAAAACCATCAAAGGACTGTAGACAGGGGCGTATTCAGGAATTTGTCCCGGGGGGGGGGGTTCAGCAACCGGTCCAGGGGGGGCTGAGCCCTTATAGCCCCCCCCTCTGAATACGCCTCTGACTGTAGACGTAGTAAATAGGCACAACGGAATCCTTGAAACCATAATCCTCAAGGGCGTTTTTTAGCTTAAAAAGTGTTTAATTCTGAAAATATTCGCATGGGTTTCCTGCAGTAGAAATGCACAAGTCACTTTTGTAAAGAAATCACAATTGAAAAAAACAGTTTTTAAAATTATAAATATATTATCAGACAAAGCTTTCAAGGTATACCGCTCATGTCATTCTATAAATGGTCACTTGAAATTACGTTTACGACCCTTTTAGTTATGATAACACTTCTTTTGGTGAATTTGTCTCTTGGTAATAACTTTAATTTCTTAGACTTTTGCGTATTTATACAACTTTAAAATTGTATTAAAAAAGTAACTTTAAAGACAACTTTCAGTTCGCAAAATTTAATCAATTTTAGTTTCCAAATCTACAAAACTTAACTATTTTATTTTCAAGAAACCCGACTCAACTGCTTTCATCCCAGTCAACAAGTAAGTTTAATTGTGAGAAAAAATATTTTTTAAGTCAGTCATCTTAATATTGAAAATTTGGAAGATTTCCTTTGAGATTTATTATTTATTTAATTTTAGGATTCTGTCAACACTCAAGTTCTCAGGGAAGAGTTACAAAACTTTTAGAGATAGATAGATAAATAGTTTAGTAGTCATTTAGCCCAACTTAACCCTAGCCCTTTTATCCATCTAAGTCCTGGGGTTTAGTTGTCATTTAGTCCAACTTAGTCCCAGGGATTTGTAGTCATTTGGTCCAACTTTGTCCCAGGGGCTTAGTAGTCTTTTAGTTCAACTTAGTCCCAGGGGTTTATTAGTCCTTTAGTTCAACTTAGTCCCAGAGATTTGTAGCCATGTAGTCCAACTTTGTCCCAGCGGCTTAGTAGTCCTTTTTTTCCAACTAAGTCCTGGGGTTTAGTTGTCCTTTAGTCCAACTTAGTCCCAGGGATTTGTAGTCATTTGGTCCAACTTTGTCCCAGGGGCTTAGTAGTCTTTTAGTTCAACTTAGTTCCAGGGGTTTATTAGTCCTTTAGTTCAACTTAGTCCCAGAGATTTGTAGCCATTTAGTCCGACTTTGTCCCAGGGGCTTAGCAGTCCTTTAGCCCAACTTAGTTCCTTGAGTTTAGCAGTCTAGTAGTCTAGTAGTCTAGTATTCTAGTGGTCTAGAAGTCTAGTAGTCCAGTAGTCTATTATTTTAGTAGTCTAGTTGTCTAATACTCCAGTAGTCCAGTAGTCTAGTAGTCAAGTAGTCTAATAGTCTAGTAGTCTAGTGCTCCAGTAGTCTAGCAGTCTAATAGTCTAGTAGTCTAGTAGTCTAGTAGTCTAATAGTCTAGTAGTATAGTACTCCAGTAGTCCAGTAGTCTAGTAGTCTAATAGTCTAGTAGTCTAGTGCTCAAGTAGTCTAGCAGTCTAATAGTCTAGTAGTCTAATAGTCTAGTAGCCTAGTAGCCTAGTAGTCTAGTAGTCTAGTAGTCTTATAGTCTAGTGCTCAAGTAGTCTAGCAGTCTAATAGTCTAGTAGTCTAGAAGTCTAGTCGTCTAGTAGTCTAGTAGTCTAATAGTATAGTAGCCTAGTAGCCTAGTAGTCTAGTAGTCTAGTAGTCTATTAGTCTATTAGTCTAGTAGTCTAGAAGTCTAGTAGTCTAGTAGTCTAGTAGTCTAGTAGTTTAGGGCTCCAGTAGTCTAGCAGTCTATTAATCTAGTAGTCTAGTAGCCTAGTAGTCTAGTAGTCTAGTAGTGTAGTAGTCTAGTAGTCTCGTGGTCTAGTAGTCTAGTAGTCTAGTAGTCTAATAGTCTAGTACTCTAGTAGCCTAGTAGTCTAGTAGTCTAGTATTCTAGTAGTCTAGTAGTCTAGTAGTCTAGTAGTCTAGTAGTGTAGTAGTCCAATAGTCTAGTAGTCCAGTATTCTGGGATGAAAGAACAGGGAACAATGGAAAAGTAAAACATGAATGTTCTCTGACTTCACAGTTCTTATAATCAGTATTCAAAGTGTTTCTTAGACATACTTAATATTAATACATGTTGTATATATATTATATATATAGTCATAGCGTGGGAGTATGTTCATTAGCTAAGGATCTATTAATACATTTCTTATAATACAGGGCGTCCCACGAAACATGACAGTTGGTGAATATTTTAAAAATGTCTTCTTCCATAATTTGTTAAGCTGTTTGATACCATAGAGAATAATAATAAACATTATATGCAGAGGCGTACGAGGGGGAGCCGAGCCCCCCGCCCCCCCCCCCCTACGCGTGCAACCCCGGCTGAGGGGGGCACTCATCGGGGAGGGCTCTTTTAATATTACATCTGCTTGCATTTCCCTTCCTCAGGCAATCTACATTCTACATTGCATTGCATTGTACTCACCCAAACTAAAAGATTAAGAAAAGAAATAAATTATATTCTGATTCACAACAATACACTTCAAAGCTTTGTCTGATCAAGTATTTAATTAATTATCCATGTTTCCCATTTTGAAAACTGAATATTTTTATTTGTGGTTCCTCTACAGAAGTGACTCGCGCATTTCGATCACAGATTAAGATATATTGGAGTAAAAGACTTTTCTACCGAACTAAACTGCAAAAAGTCTTTAAATCTTATCCAATATTTGGAAGACGACATTCTAAACTATTTTGATTTCTAAATTAATTAGAAATTAGATTTTAGTTTTAAAAATAAATTATACTTTAAAAATCTTTGACTCCAGAGACCGGTAAAGTTGGCGGTCTCGGGAATATTCGTTATAAACAAAATTAATTAAGTATTTTGATAGTTTTTTGTCGTACTCTCAAATACTCAGCAAAACAACCCAGTGGACTTCTGCTTTGTGGCACTTAAAAAAAATTGACTTTAATTGTTTTTTCTTGAAATTTAATATTAATATTTTTTTTTATTTGGAAAAATTTAAATTTTTTTTAAGTGACATTTTTAAATCCATGCCATGCCATGAGTCTAAAACTGAAGAACGAAAACTTCCGACTTAAATTTGAAGTTTCAGCTTGAATACCACTTCTGCTTTATTTAAACCTGAATTTTAACCCTGGGGTTAAATATTTAACTCGTCGATTTTTGCGAGTTAAAATTTAAACCCGGAAATCCCGCATTCAATTATGCGATATTTCAATCATGAAAATGATTCAATCTGACGGTTTGAGTTTATAAATCTTTTCTCGTTATCTTGAATAACTAAAGACATTGTGTAATCCAAAATATATTTTGAAATTTGAAATTGAAATTATGAAACGGAATAGAATAGATGATGTTGCGTAATCTTTGTCGATTCGTAACTCTCGTAAATTTCCCTCCAAATCTAAATTGAGAAGTTAATATCTAAGTCTCATAGTGGCGTAAATAAGGGGGGTTATTGGGGTTATTTACCCCCCCCCCCTAGAATCTTGGGGGGTAATTACCCCCCCCCTAGAATCGGGGGGTAATTACACCCCTTAGAATTTAAAAATTTGATTTAAGATTGAATCTTTTAAATTTGCAAGAAAATTAGTTAAATGTGCAGATACTTCATATATTTCAGAGGGTATGGGCAATGAAAAATACATTTTTACTTCTAAATAATGTCATTTCTATATTAGATTCATTTAAGATCTTAACTATACTACATTGACGATAAGAAAATTTTAGAAATTAGAAATAAGAATTTTAACAGAGACAATATTTTTTCAAAGTTTTGCAGAGTAGCTTCTCTAAAGATTTATAAAAGAAACGATCTTCATCCTCTTAGAGTAAAACTATTATTTTTATGTTACTTAAAATAATTTCAGTTTTTTTTACAGATCTTTGTAGTTAATGTAAAATGAATGACTATAATGAAGGATATAAAACAAGGTGAAAGCTGAAAGGAATGAAATGAAGCCTTCATTTGATGGAGTTTGTAAATGCCTGAAATGAGTGGTAAATGCAAATCAAACCCAATTACAGCCAATAATTTGATATACATCATGATATTTTTCCAGGGGGGGGGGGGAAAAAAAATTTTCGCCACGCTTCGCGCGCCAAATTCAAAAATCTTATATGAAATTAAAAAGAAATCCATCAAAATTTTTTTTTTAGTTACAGGAAAATGCCTTAAAAAGGAAGGGGGGGGGGCGAGGGTGTATTCTACAATGTCCCATATAAATGCCTCATAACTTACAGTTGCAATAACCTACATTTATACGTTTACATAACGAATGTAGAATGAAAGATATTGGTTGTACAAGCTTTTGTTACATCTGCTACTATGAGTAGAATTTTTCAGATTTAACCTCATTCAGAACAGATTTTAGGACAAAGTCTTCACCTTTATTCAAGCAATAATTTACTTTATCATTAAGTAGTTCATGTTTTCAGCCCCCTCCCCTCCCCCCACAAAAGAAAAAAATTAGCTTAAACTTTGTTATATTGCTATTCCTATAATGTTGATCAAGCTATATCTGAAATTTCCAGGAGACCCTTGTTATTGATCCCTTCTTTTCAGCTTGTTCTTGAAGCATTCCTCTGATTGAACTATGTGCTCAATAAACTAACGTTCAATTATCATATTTTTTTCCGGATCAGAGCTCTTAAATTTTCTCAGGTTCAGGATTCATGAATAGCTAAATTGCAAAACAGGGTGGACTTCTTGCCCCCTCCCCCCTACAGGGGGGGCAAGCCTTCTTAAGGGATGGGCATGTCGCCCCTTAATCGGGCTAGGGGGGCACTCATGGGTTGAAGTGGATGAAGTCGTTTCACTTCATTTCCCGTGAATATATAGTTAATGTTTCCCTCCCTACAAAATATTGGAAACTTCTAGATTTGTTTAATACAAGGTTTCTAGTTGGAAACTATAGATTTGTGTAGAAAATACAAGATTTCTAGTTGGAAACTTAAGATTTGTGTAGAAAATACAAGATTTCTAGTTGGAAACTATAGATTTGTGTAGAAAATACAAGGTTTCTAGTTGGATACTTAAGATTTGTGTAGAAAATACAAGGTTTCTAGCTGGAAACTGTAGATTTGTGTAGAAAATACAAGGTTTCTAGTTGGAAACTATCGATTTGTGTAGAAAATACAAGGTTTCTACCTGGTTACTATGGATTTGTGTAGAAAATACAGGAATTCTAGCTAGAAACTAATATTAATTTCAAAAATATTGACTCTTATAGCCTTACAGGCAAACGTTAGGAGGCAAAAAAACATTCTGAAAATGAAAAATTGTGAAGGACAATTTTCGAATGAATTTATTGAACAGATTGATGAATTCAAAGAGAACAAGACGTCAGACTAATTTAGAAATTGTTTTTATATTAGTTCCCACATCTTTTTATGCAAAGAAACAGCTGACAAATAATAGAATTCAAACAAAAGTGAAACTTTAAAAAATAAATCATACAAGTTTTCAAATGCAACTCTGGTTCCTAGTCTAATGAAGGAGATCTTTCATGGATGCAAGAACCTTGACGTTGGAGCAAAACTGTGGAGATATTTCCCCTCAAAAACCTTCAGGTAACTCAAGCTTTACATCCAGATCTGAACGTTTGTGTGGATATTGTTTATCTTGAATGTTTAATCTCGATATCCAATGTGGGCTCTTTTAAAGTAATTGAGTCTTTGCCACAAGCAAAAAAAAATTATTTCCTATAATTTTGCAACCCACTGTCATAACCGTTAGATATTTTAAACTCCAAATTTCATTGAATCAAAAAATGCAAGTTTGAAATATCTAAGGTTTACACCATTAGGTTCCAAAGATTGGAAAATTTGATTTTGTTGCAAAGATTTAATTCCTTTGAGAAGAAATTCTTGATAATTCAGGGTATTGCCATCACAGGATATTAAGGACGAATTAAATTAGTCCCTGTCTAAAGCATAATTGATGTGGATAAAGCAAATAGTTTTAGCTTGAAATCAACGTATTAAATGAAATTGCAGAATCTGTGTAATGTGTACACCAAAAAGTGTTTCAAGTTTATGTAACTATTTGGAAATCTCTATCAGTGTCACTAAAATCTAAAGGTTGCATGATCCGAGCCGGTACAACTTGTACGTGCATGCATTCAGTCGTACTGTCCAGTCAGGAACTCTGAACTACCCATCTGTAGGTTAGAACTAGAATGTTTTTCTTACTCTGGATAGTTAAAGTTTATAGAAACCAAGTCAATGTTAATTTTTTCATCATTTAATTACAAAGTTACAAACTTTAGACTTCAGAGGAATCAAATTTAACATTACGTATGAAAAAGATTTCTTTAAAGATGAAAAATGACAAATTAAGCATTTTTAAATTAACACTACTTAAATCATTAAATAGGATTAAACAGATGACCAAATTTTAAAAAATCATTGTTACATGAATAAGATTAGAATGATATGCCATATCTATGCCATATTTATGTACCAAGTTATAATTTTTAACAGAAAAAATCAATTTTTGCGACAATTAAATGATTCAATCAAATATTTTGATTTGGTTTCATCAATATCAGAAGGTAAAAGGTACTTAAAAAGAATTAGACTTGGAAAAACAGGGTTCTTTACACAAACTCAAATCTTTTCAACCTGATAGTGTAAAGATATAGTGATTAAGAAATCAAAGTTCATGTAAAAAAAATGGATTCCTTTGTATTCGGTGTCTGGTACATATCTAGAAGGCATCATTAAAGGGAGTGTTCACGAAAAATGAAAGCTGGTATAGGCTTACGTCGAAAAATTATTCATGGTGATCACCACTAACCTTACTTCTATCTGTTGCGTCTATAAGACGAAAATTGTTAAAAAAAAAACGACTTACGGAAGAACGTAGACCCCATGCAAATTCAGAAAGTTGCAACATACGACTCGGATCGTAAAAAAATCCATTTAATTACATACAAATCTTTCAGATATTACAACTATATTATCATCGATAATTTTTCGACGCATTCGTATAAAGTTGATATTTCATAATATTTTTTACAAAACAAAGTGTATTTCATATTCATGTTGAACCTCATTTTCCTGGACGTTTATGCTGACTTTCGAAAACTATTTCTAACAATATTCAAAATCTAATAAGTGACGCTAAAAAATCCAAATCATCGTTTTAAATAGTTTTCTATTGTGAATTTAGCAATTAATTTCTACGAAATTTGGAAATTTATTGGAATTTAAAAATTTTGTTTTTTCGGCATTCTTATCAGAATGATACGGACGATTTTTAAGTAGTCTTTTTTAACGTTTTGATACAAAAACCTCGTGGACATTTGGCTGTTAAAAAAAATTGAAAACTGATATTCCCTGACACCTCACACTTTAAAAGTATATAAAAACTCTATCTTGCATTCTTCCGACAGTTAGAAGATTAAAAATATTTAGACTTTTGTGCGAAATATATTAAATTCTTTATTTTGTTTACCTTGTCACAAACAGTTTTCAGATTATATTTAAAATATTCATTTAAAAATAAAATGAATAAATTTACTATAAAATTTATTTAAAGATTTGTCTACTATGAAAACTTTTGATGCATTTTATATTTCTTCTTTTAAACGTGATGTTAGTTGCATCTAACACTTAGTAATTACAAATGGATTTGTAAACTACTGGAGTGCTTTTCAAATATGTTTAGCAAAAACTTGCTTTATAAACTATGATTTTTCTTCAAATATTTTTGGACAACAAAGTAGTAAAATTTAAAAAATATGGTTCATTTATAAGGTTTATTTGTTTTCCTTAAGAAAATCCAACTTGTGCTTGGTTAAAACAATTTGTTGATACTGATTCTGCTTTGTTTTTCATTTTAATTTTGAAACATCATAGATTTACTTGACTGTGTACTGCAGATATATAGGGAATAGAAATTAATTTTGTGTGACAAGCGTTCAATTCGTAAAACATATCACACCTATCAGATATATTAGTGGGGTTATTGAAATCCCAAAATATTTTTTTTTCTTCAAATATTAGGTTCATTTGTTAGGAAGCTTGAGCGAGATATTGAACTGTTTACCCGGATAACAAATCAGATGATCCACAAGGCAATTCAAAAGTAAGATTTTTTATTTAACTCTCCAAAATTAGTAAAAAGAAAACAGACCTATTTTTAAAGTGGTTTCACCTGACAAAGGAGTCCATATAGTTGGTCTCCAATAACCGTTAAAACGGCTGAACAGATCGGACACCAAGTTCTTAGCAAAACCTAACATGACCGCTCATAATTAAAAAAGTACCGTCTCCAAAACGTTAAATTCTTATAAATTTAGCAAAGCACCAAAAAATACAAAAAAAATCAGCGAAATTTTAAATTGGGAGTGTTAAAAATGTACGAATGAAAAAATTTAAAAACTTTATATCTATGCATGAAAAAGATTATGACTATTAATTTTACGATAACGTCGTCTTTATTGCTTAAAGATATTAAGGAAGGATGGTACGTATCCGCTAGACTATAGACTTCTGACCTACTTTCTCGTAGTTTTACAGCTGTTTAATCTAACTTAACCCACAAATAATACAAAATATACAGCTGCTGTAAGTTCAAAGTTGGATATTGCAGTTGGTAGGAAAGTTATTACTCGCACGTGGTTTTACAACTGTTTAACCTAACGTAACCCACAAATAAAACAAAATATACAGCTGCTGTAAGTTCAAAGTTGGATATTGCAGTTGGTAGGAAAGTTATTACTCGCACGTGGTTTTACAACTGTTTAACCTAACCTAACCCACAAATAAAACAAAATATACAGCTGTTGTAAGTTCAAAGTTGGATATTGCAGTTGGTAGGAAAGTTATTAGTACAGGGATACCGGGTATATAATATTGTTACCTCAGGGAGAAGGAGAATGAGTTGCAGAATACCCTGCTCGGAAACCTATTCAGCCGGGGCTGTGACGAGATCACCATGACAGTCCTTGCCACAGATCTCATCTTTGGAGGTGAAATTTTTTTATAGCTAGCAGCAGAACACGGTAAACTAGGGGTCAGGGCACGTCAAACTAAGGTAAATTGCACGTATATTGTTGAAATCTTATAAGATGTTTTCAATCATAACTCTTCTTACAAAAGAGCTTTTGAAAAGTACAAAAATATTTTGAAAAATATTCTTACAATGGAACCGGATAAACTTGCTTTTCTCATACTTCTCCGTAAAAAAGCTACGAGGTCACAAAATCGTTCCAGTGATGTCGCATAAGTATTACCTTCTCCTTCTGTCTTATTATATGTATATAATGTGGATCTCTTGATAATACTATAATGAAAGTAAAAAGGATTTATTTCGTTGTGGTTAGTTTTCACTAAGAAGTTCATTGTTATTGTGCAGTGGGACAATAACATTTATGAATAATCGATGTGAAGTTACTGATAAAAATTGCACATTTCGTTGATCCTTAAATGCAATGTGTTTTAAAAGTTCAGATGTTATTAGGTTTCAAAGGTACTTACCTTATACAGTATTATATGTTGGGTTATGTGGGTTTACCAATAACAAAGAAACTGAAACCCTAATTTCTAACACTCATATCTTTGTTAATATCTTAACCTGCTGATTATCAAGGATCAAAAAGCATAACTACGTTTGAATTGTTTTACACCATCAGGTTGCAAGTTTGTGAGTTTGAGACAAGTAATCAGTTTCTTTAGACAGGTTAAAACAAACCTAGATTACTTGTTGGTTAACATGACCATTGACCATTGACCATTGACTATTGACCATAGACCATTGACCATTAACCAACCCTATTCAAATGACAGGTGTGGAGCAGGTGGCCCATGCCGTCATGTTTTCTCTTTACCTTCTTGGGGTCAACCCAGACAAGCAGAAGATACTGCACAACGAGCTGACCCGCACACAGGTAGTTTTATAGCTACCTGTCTTCAGTAATCCTTGGTTACCCTTCATAGACAATCCTTGGTTATCCTTCTTAGACAATCCTTGGTTATCCTTCTTAGACAGTTTCCTGTTATCATTCATAAAAAAATCGTGGTAATCCTTCATAAACAATCCTTGATTTTCCTTAATAGACAATCCTTGGTTATCCTTCATAAACAATCCTTGGTTATCCTTCATAGACAATCTTTTGTTATCTTTCATAAACAATCCTTGTTTATCCATCATAGGCAATAATTGGTTATCCTTACTAAACAATCCTTGGTTTTTCCTTCATAACAATCCTTGGTTACCCTTCATAGACAATCCTTGGTTATCCTTCATAGACAATCCTTGGTTATCCGTTATAAACAATCCTTGGTTTTCCTTTATAGACAATCCTTGGTTATCCTTCATAGACAAAACTGGATTATCCATCATATACAATCCTAGTTGATCCTTCAAAGACAATCCTTAGTTATCGGTTCCTTAACAATCCTTCATTAACATTACTTGATTATCCTTCATGGACAATTCTTGGTTATCCTTCATAAACAATCCTTCTTTATACTAAATAAACAATCATTGGTTATCCTACATAAAAATCCTAGATTATTCCTTCATAACAATCCTTTATTATCCTTTATAGACAATCCTTAGATATCCTTCATATACAATCCTTGGTTATCCTTCATAAACAATCCTTGGTTTTCCTTTATAGACAATCCTTGATCACCTTCATAGACGATCCTTAGTTATCCTTCATAGACGATCCTTAGTTATCCTTCATAAACAATCTCTGATTGTCCTTCTTAATCTTACAATCCTTGGTTTTGTATCATGAATAATAAATATCTCTGTATGTATCTAGAACCCGAATTATCTGAAAGCTGTTGTAAAGGAGACAATGCGGCTTTACCCTCCGGCTGTAGGAAATATTAGGTAGAAGTTGAGTTTTTACAGGAATTCTGACGGACATTTTCCAGGTTTTTTTTTCGCAGATTTTACATTTTACTCTTGAGAAGATTCTTTTCGTTTATACTAAAGGGTTTATTAATCCTTAAAGGTTTTCATTATGCTTTTACAGAGATTCTCCAAACTTTTTATGGAGAGGTTCTTAACGGTTCATAATAGTGAAGGAATTCTTTGGAGTTATTACAAATGAAGGATATGTTAACTTTTTGTAATTTTAAAGTAATTAGGGCAAATTGCTCATTATTATTTCTTAAGTCGAATCGTCGAAATGTTAAAAATGTTAAGTGTCAAAAAAATGCAGGCAGCTAAGTGTTCCTCTGGAACTGGGAGAATATAGTCTGGAACCTGGAACTGTTTATATTCTTGGTAAATTTTTTATATTTTTTTTTAACTTTTCTGCATTAAAATTTACACTAGGAAAAAATTATGCAATAAACAAAAACGTGGTTTGTTTTTCCATACGAAGGGGACCTGGAATTATCGTCCCGTAAACTTTTTTTCTCAGCCTGTCTGTGTGGCATCTTCATAGGGGTAGATTTATTTTTAATTCGGTCAAGCAAGATTTCGCCCTTAATTTCAAAAGTTTTCTATTGGATATTATTCTTGACAGAGTCAGGTAAGTTTTCATATAGTCTTTACAAATTGAAAACCTTAGAGAAGATATATTGAACACTGAACAATCATTTTTGATCAATGTTTTTATTAATTAATCTATTATTTCTACCCGCAGCGCATCAGATAATGTCCCGGAACCCTGAATATGTCAGAGAACCTGAACAATTCATCCCAGAGAGATGGATGAGGAAGAGTATTCAGGTTGGAATAATTAAAGTTTTCGTTAAAAAAAAACTTTTTTTGCCAAAAATCTTCTTAGAAAAGCAAATTTCGATCAACTTCTCTGAAAAGTAGTTGTAAAAATAATTATAATTCTTCTTGTTCTTAAAGCTAATGGTACACAATATAACCTACTTCATTTCAGAAAAGAAAGAATTATTGTGAGTTTATTTCTTAATTATTTAAGGATATAAAATAAGCGTCTTATCATTTTGAAGAAAAAAATGGAAACGGATTTTTTTTAGAAAGAAGAGCTGCCACCATTCTTAACACTTCCTTTTGGTTGGGGACCAAGGTATTTTAAATACTGGCTAAAGTTAATTAATATCGCTTCAAATTCTTTTAATTCCTACTGATTATAAATGTCAAATTTGGTCTTCTGTTTTACTAAATTTTCCTAAAATTGTCTGTTGTGTTGAACATATAAGGAAAGCTGATTTCAAGATGGGGATTATACAAATCTTATATAATATTAATAGCAGACGATTTTTATGTTTTAGAAAAGTTTCTGATTTTCAAATCCGTAATATCTTTGCAGCAACCTGTCTTTTAGTTCTACTAGAATAAATAAAAATATTAAAGGTTTACATTGTCAGGTTGCAAAGATATAGGGATAAGAAAATTTAAGTTTTGTGGTGAACATAGACTCAACAATTTTTTTCGGGATAATTTTCCGTTAAATTTAACACATGACTTAGCCATTAATTTTATCCACGGTCTCATGGTGCACTATCAATTGCAGGAGCTGTATTGGAAGAAGGTTTAGCGAGATGGAAATATTTTCAATGATTTCAATTCTTATATCAAGGTTTCAGGTTAGATTTCTATATTAAAACAACTTTTAATCCAAATAAAAAGAAAAAAATACTCGTTTTTATCATTAAGGGGGGGGGGGGTAAAGGTTAGAGCAAGATTGATGATCCCTCCCCCTAATTTAATAATAAGAATCTGAACTCACATTGGTCAGTTTACATTAAGACTGAAAACTCTTGTTTCTTGTTATTGCCTCAAACTCAAACTTACCGTATTTCTTTCATATCTTTCTATGCGTTTAAATTTATTTATCAATTCGATAGTTAATATATCTGACTTGTATTAACATTAGCTTTAAAATCAAGATAGCGTCTTAGCGTCTTCTTAAAACTAGGAGATGAAAGATTGCACTGGAAATAATTCGCAATATTTAACATAATTTTTTCCATTTAATTAATCTCAAGCTCTTTCTCAATCTTTAAGTTTAAGTAGATTTAGAGGCAGAATTCTTAAAGAGATTGAAAGCGTAATTTCAAAAAAAAATTGAAAAAAAAAAACATTCAAAATACAGAAATATTCATGACCTGGACTAAAAACTAAAAACTAAAAACTAAAATCTAAAAACTGAAAACTGAAAACTGAAAACTGAAAACTGAAAACTAAAAACTAAGAAAACTGAAAACTAAAATCTAAAGACTAAAAACTAAAAACTAAAATCTAAAATCTAAAATCTAAAATCTAAAAAAATTTTCCTCTAAAAAAATAAATATGTACTCATAACCATGCATGGCAGAAAACAAAATTCAGCCTTCATATTATTTAAGCTTTTAAACCATCTTTAAAGACACATCCTTAGTGGGTAACCCTGTAAATGGTATAACTGATACTAGAAATAATCTTTAGTATACAGACGCAGACATATACAGATGTATACAACCCAGACATGCATAAACAACATATACATTACATTTTGATCCGAATCTTGAATTGGCCCTGAAAAAACGACTCCCAATTCATTTTACATTTCTTTAACATTTTTAGATTTGGGGGTTGAGAGCTTTTGGTTGATACTTTTCCCCTTGGATCCGCAAAATGTGGCGGATCCAAGCATTGTGTGAAGTAATGTTAATCATGAACCCTTGATCTTGATCTTGATCCTTGGGGGTTGAGAGCAAATAGTTTTTGGTTGATACTTTTCCCTTTGGATCCGCAAAATGTGGCGGATCCAAGCATTGTGTGAAGTAATGTTAATCATGAACACTTGATCTCGAAATCTGAAATGGGAACGTTTAAAGAAATTTCTAATCCCTATCTTTTGGCAGCCTGATACTGCAAAGATTTGATATGTCAATCTTTAATTTTTTTTTTGATTTAACAGAATTTATAGTTTGAAATATCTAGAGTCTATTACTTGGGTTGCAAATATAGAGTGATTAGAGTTTGTGGCAAAAACTCAACTCCTTCGAGGGTCAAGGCTTTCTGTCCCTTCATTTCAGTAGTTATAAACACCATGAAATATTGAACAGGAATTAAGCGACAGTGTACGTTAACCGAATCACGATAAAGATTGACAAAAGTACGAGATCAAGAGTTTCTCAGCCTAGGATATATTTTCTATTATTATAGGATAAACATATATACCTATTAAACTAAGAACTTTAAAACCTATGACTGAGAACATTCCGGTGGTTCTACAGAGTTCCTCAATCAAAATTTGAGCCAACTCTGTTAAGGGGTTGCAAGTTATGATCAGACATACCAACAGTGATTACTTCTTTATATATATATAGATATCTTTATAGGCTTTTAGTTGGCAATATTATATATATTTCCTAAATATATACGGAATGGTATATATCAAATTGTTAAATATATTAATTTTTAGATTGGCTGGGAAGGATCTCCTCTGAGGATCAAATCCGAAATTGTAATCTTCCCAGAAGGAGAACTAAGGTAACAAATAAACCTAACAAATTTTAAAAAGCAAAAACATTTACTTTTGTCAGAATAAACTCCTTAGAAAGTACTTTATTCAACTAAGGTGTCTTTAAAGTTATGCACATTCAAGAAATGAAATTAATGCTATTTTCATCATTTTCAGGTTCAACTTCAAGAAGAGATAATAATTCATTCAACATCTTATGAGTTAAACATAGCTAATTTTTTTATAATTTAGTTTAAATAAACATCCACTATTAAATTTTTTCATAAATGAATACAATTTTGATATCCAAAATATGCAGAATGCAATGTGGACATAAAATTAATTTCCTAAAAATAGTCAAGAACATGAATTTCGCGGTCTGAAGTAGTGACATAACTCTGTTAAAAAAGAACCCTTCCTCTTATCTTCTAGTCCTAAAAAAAATATACGAGACGATGCATCTTACATTTTACAATTGGGTTTCCCTACTCATAAACATGTACTTTGCTTGTTTGGGTGGATTTTAGGTTTAAGGTTTTTGAGAATTGCAAAAATTTGTCTTCAAAAACTGTTTACCTTTCGTAAAACTTTGAAATCCATGAAAAAATTTGATAAAATCCACAATCCACAAACTGTTATTGTATTATATTCACCAGAACTAAAAGCGCCCTCAAAGCCTAGTAGATGTTTTTTTTTACATTTTTTTTCAACATATCGGGAAGGAAACATAAATGTAAAAATTCCAATGTTTTCCGAAACAGCCCCACTAGTATCAAATTTAAGTATGATCTTTGAGCGCTGAATTGCAAACCAGTGTGAATATAATGGGTTTCTAAGTTGTATTTTCTAAATAACCATAGTGTTATACAAATATATACATTTGCAAATATCTAAATATACATAATATTGTTGTGCTGCATAATATGATATGATAATGCTGAACACGGAAACTCGTATAAATCCTTTTCTGCACTTAAATGACACTTTGACGAACAAATATTTTATCAGGAATAAAGTTTACTGTTTCTAACAAGATTTTTTCAGCATCGCACAAATTGCAAAATGGAAAATCTAAATGTCAATAAATAATTTTATCTAACAATTAAAAAAATATATGGATATTTTTTATCAAGCTTCAATGATGATTTAAAAATTCAATATTCTAATATTCAAAACAGATGAATTGCACTGATAAAGCAGTTGCATTATTCCTGGTATATTTTTATGTTCCCTTTATCATCATTAAAAATGTTTTTCAATACTTTTCTGTTGATTATCGTTAATCTTAAACGCTTGATCTCGATATTCAATGTGCACATTTTTTGAAGGTACACGCTTGATCCCTAAACCAAAAAAATCCCTACAGGATATGACCACCACGAGATATCGAGAAGGAATTCCGATTAATCTGTAGGCCTGCATAAGAAGGAGAATGAAAAACAAAGCTTCATTCATCACAAAAAAAAAGATTTTAACTTCATAAACTTCACCAAGCCAGAATGAAAAATCTCGAACAATGATGAGAGTAATAGTATCTGCAAGAGCTATTTAAAAAAAAATCCTGAGCTGGAAACTTTTGTATTGGGTACTCATAGCTTGATCTCGATACTCTCTGTAGGCATTTTTAATTAAGGATCAATGCTAAATCATTTCGGTTATCCTGCAGAGGTACAATTACACTGCAGAGGATATCGATTAAAGATAATTATTCTGCAGATTAACAATAGATCCACAATACAAGAGTTGGGAACTTTTGTATTGTGGATCTCGGTTCCTATAATCTGTTCTGTGTTTATGAGCTAGAGGATTTGAATATTTTCTCAAATATATCCTGTAGTATTCCCTTCTCTGACTTGAGTTTCTCTCCAGATACAGGTGTAGGTATAGGTTTAGAATCCTCTGTAGGATCATAATCTTCAAGGATTTTCTTAGCTTCAGACTTCATGTAGAACTGAAACATTTGACCCTGAAGGATTGGAACTATTAGATTAAATTTGTCTATTTGCTTGTTCACATTTCTCACCGAGTCCATCTCAATTCTAAACATAAATAAGATTATTGATTAATCTAGATATGTTAAGCTTGTTTAGGTCAAGGTACTAAAGCAAGGAAAGTTATTTCAGAGGTGTACGCATTTTTTGTACTGCAGTGAACTGTCTTTGGGCGGAAAAGTAAACACAAGACGGATGTCACAGCCTGACATGGAATCGATTTTCACAAAAATAATCTATGAAATATTCTTGTCATAGGAAACTATTATGTGAATTTCAAGAATTATCAAAATTAAATGCTTTTAACCTCCTCGGATACTAAACGAGCACTGATGCATCTATTCTTGTTTACAAAGTCCTCCCAAAGAGAACTGGTACGCGACCGCATTTAACTTTCCATGCATTAGTACCTTGGTCTAGGTGTTTGTTTGCAAACAAGAAACGTCAAAACGGCTGTACCCATCCGGGCCAATTTTTTTACGGGACCTCAAATGTCCCCGAGAAAAAAATAAAAATGTGCATTAAAAACTTTGGTTTTTTAAAAATTACAAAAACGATAAACCCGAGAGTAGTTTTTGCTATTGTTTGATAATTTATGAAGATTCGCGAGAAAATTGACCTCAAGCCCACTGGAAGTCTAGTATAAAACAAAGAGTTAGGGACGTTCTGGACAAGTCCATACAGAAACTTTTAGTTTTACGCACAGCAGTCGGCATTTATATCAATACATTGAAGACGAATTTTCAATTTTAGTTTTTTTTAGATTTCTAACAAGCTTTTTTCACATTACAAGTTTTCAAGTAAATAAAAAAAGTTCTTTCTTGACAGCTTCTCTTTGTTTCCATGTTCATGTGTATCTATGCTGTTTGAAAACTTAGCAAATCAGAATAGAAATCAAAATTCTTTATTGTATTGATGTATACGACGACGACTGTATTTAAGTGCTTAATCCATAAACTGACTTGAACTTTCGGAAAAAAATATGCAAATGTTAAGGATACTATAGATAGACTACCGTGCTTAAATAGAAATTGACGATAATAAATGGAAGATCATTCCCGGAACACTGTTGGGGAGGTCCGGAAGCCCTTTGGGGACGCGCACTGCCGCAAATAGGTAAAATGAGGTTCGGAAGCTGTGCGGAGAAGGTTGCGTTCCCTCCCTCGTCTAAGATCAGATTTTGTGTAGCTCCTCAATGTTTATAGCTCAAGAGATATTTAAAGGATTACTTTTTTAGTTTGACTACAATAGACAATTACCAAAGAAATGCATAACTTCTATCCAAAGGGATAAAAATTCCGACCCTTGTCTACATTTTGTTTCCTTAAAAAGTTTTACAAAATTTACCTGCTGCAAATTAATTCCCATTCTTGTAATTTCTTGGGAGATAAAGGTGGAGGACCCAGGGTTTGTCTTTTTTTCTTTAATTCTCCTCTGATAGCAGTAAATTGATCCCTTATATCTTTTCTAACCAAAAAAAATTTATCAAGATTTATTAGATGAATCTAAAAGATAGAATTCCCAGCTGTCTTAAATTAACAGCAATTGAACTTTTGAACAAAATCGGCATTTGGGAAATTTTCCAAATAGCTAAGCATTTGAGAAATTTCCAATATTTGAAAAATTAACTACCCTAAGATTCTTCAAGGAATTCGGTGAATTACCCAGATTCCCAGGTATTTGATGAATTCCCCAGATTCCCAGGTATTTGGGGAATTCCCCAGATTCCTAGGTATTTGGAAAATTTCCCCCAGATTTACAGGCATTTGGGAAATTCCCTACATTCCCAGGTATTTAGGAACTTCCCAGATTCCCAGGTATTTGGGGAATTTTCCAGATTCCAAGCCTTTGGGGAATTCCCGAAAGGAACTGAGTTTTTGCCACAAATTTAAATTGTATGGTCCCCATATCTTTGCAACCTGAAGGAGTAAACCTTTGATATTTCAAACTTTGATTATTTGATGTAACAGAACTTATAGTTTGAAATATTAAAGGTCTATGGCACGGGGTTGCAAAGATATAAGGATTAGAAAATCAGAGTTTGTGGCAATGCTGTAGGAATTTAAGGGTGGTATATTCTTCAGATTTTGGAAATTAATTTCTCAAGCGACTAGATAACTGGGAAATTCCTCAAATGTCTAGGTGTTGGAAAATTTCCCAGATTGAAATTTGGGGAATTCCCCAGATTTTCCTAATTCCTATATAGGAATTTCAGCATAAAGATTTTGGAAAATTTCCATAAAGATTTCCTATAATTGAAAAATAGAACACTTTCAGATTCTTTACGGAATTTGGGGAATTTGCCAGATTCCCAGGCATTTGGGGAATTCCCCAGATTCGCAGGTATTTCGGGAATTTACAATTTTGACCATTTTCTTAATTGCTGTCACTCCCTCCCAAAAGGTTGGAAAATAGACTACAAAAGTAAAAAGTAAATGTAATGGAAATATTCTGAAGATTAGAACACAATGCAAATATACTGTCACATTGTCTGACAAGGAAAAGTTTTATTTGACTATATATATGTAAATATATTTTTCGGCTAAAATGGAAATCTTATATTTGAGAAAAAAGAAATATTTATTTATAAACTTATGCAACAAATGATAACAACAATGATAACAAATGATAAGTTTGTTAAGGGAGAGTGAACAAAAAAGTTTTCATTTGCAATTACTACAGGAAAAAATAATTTAGATCAGGGTTTCAAACTGAATCTTTGAATAAAGTGTTATGGTTAATTATTATTTAAATGTTGGAATTTTGGTTACTATACTGAAAATGTCGTTTTTTGCAAATATAACATTAAAATGTAAATCAGACTGCTTAAATATATAAGACTAATGGGGTTAGAATTATTCAGAATAAATGTAAGGAAAAATAATTGTGTGGGAAATAAATTGAACTAAAGGAACTGTTTTAAACACAATATTCTAATCTTAATACCTTTGCAAGCTTATATATTGTCAAAATATGTATTCTACAAGATCTAACAGTCAAATTTTGAAATATCAAAGTCTCACACCATTAGGTAAAAAAGACTTAGCCATGGGAAAATCCGAGTTTGAGTCAAATGCTATGTTACTTTCAGGGGAATATATCTTTTTTTAACCTCATTCTCCCCCCCCCCCCGCCCCAACTTATTGGAACCGCAACATTTTTGCTTACTGGATCTGGATCTGCAAAAATATGCAGATCCACGGATCCGAATCAAAGGGCAAAATATCAACCAAGAACTGCAAAAAAAATCTTTTGCTCTTAAAACTCAATACGGAACTGTTGAAAAAGAGAATATAAAAGAGATTATCAAAAATGTCCTTATATCTGAATGGTTCATTAAGTTGCTGCATAAAAATCTGATCCAGATCCTTTATTTTCCAGTGCGGATCAAGGATCAGGATCCGGATCCGGATCTGCATCAAAACTTAAAAGGATTGAAAAAAGGTAAAAACAATCTTTGTAAGAAAAATAATTTGAAAATAGATAAGTATTAAATAAATGTTTATGACCTGATCCAGAACCGGATCCTTTTTTCCAATGCAGATCAAGGATCCGGATCTGCATCAAAAGGAATGAAAAAAGATGAAAAAAACTTGGTAACCTGAGCATGACCCATTCCGGTGCAAATCCTCCTTCTGCGAGTATTTGATTCATCTTGTGTGTTGTAAAGTCAGCATAAGGGTTATAATCTACCCTGTTAGGCAGGGGTTTCCCTTTACCAGCTAAATATTATATTTATATTATAGTCTACTCTGTTAGGCAGGGGTTTCCTTTTACCAGCTAAATATTAGATTTATATTATAATAATCTACTCTGTTAGACAGGGGTTTCCCTTTACCAGCTAAATATTAGATTTATATTATAGTCTACTCTGTTAGACAGGGGTTTCCTTTTACCAGCTAAATATTAGATTTATATTATAATAATCTACTCTGTTAGACAGGGGTTTCCCTTTACCAGCTAAATATTAGATTTATATTATAATAATCTACCCTGTTAGGCAGTGGTTTCCCTTTACCAGCTAAATATTAGATTTATATTATTATAATCTACTTTGTTAGACAGGGATTTCCCTTTACCAGCTAAATATTAGATTTATATTATTTTAATCTACTCTGTTAAGGGGTTTTCATATACCAGCTGAATATTTTATTTATACTATTATGATCTACTCTACTCTAGGCAGAAGTTTCCAAGTACCAACTGAATGTTAGATTTATAAAGAATTGAGGCAGTTTTTGTTTATGCTTATATTTGGGAAATATTGCTTTGAAGATTGGTTTTAAAAATGATAGACTCAAGTATGTACCTAATTAACTAATTCAGTTGCAAAGTACTAAATACTTGGCGACACTTCGTAATGAGAAAAAAAAACCTGAAAGACAATATTGTGGACAGGGTTTCTACTACGACAACCGGTATCAATGATATATGGATTAAAAGGTGCAAACACTTTCCTCTCACAAATTCAACAAAATTAGCATCTTAACAGCAGCGAGCAGCCCCTTTTATAGTCTGCAGCGGCTCAGAAAGCCTTATCTATCCCTTCACAATGAGAAAAAGTTTTTTTTTGTTGAAATAAATGTCCGCTTGTAATGTTTAAAAATTCAGGTGTAATTAAATACCAGGTTTAAACAGTGAATGGGTTTTGACAGACAAAGAGATTTAATAAATGTTTTATTAACATTCCAGGATCTATTCTTCAAGATGAAAAATATATTTTCTCTCTGCAGTAGTTTGTATTTTCAAGCCTAGAAGTAATACACAATATTAGAAATAATGATTTTTCACATCTGAAAGTCGTAGTAGGCTCACACCTCATCCAACCACTTTGGCAGTTTAAACTATATATGAAAGAATTAAAAAATTCTTTTTGATGTTGAAGTGAAACCAATGGAATATATTTTTGTTTAAATAACCCCCCGTTAAGGGAGAGTGAACAAAAAAGTTTTCATTTGCAATTACTACAGGAAAAAATAATTTAGATCAGGGTTTCAAACTGAATCTTTGAATAAAGTGTTATGGTTAATTATTATTTAAATGTTGGAATTTTGGTTACTATACTGAAAATGTCGTTTTTTGCAAATATAACATTAAAATGTAAATCAGACTGCTTAAATATATAAGACTAATGGGNCCCTCCAGGAAAACCCCTGGACAAATTCCTGAGTACGCCCTTCATATCTGGGTATGAAACCTCGAGCCAATTGACAAAGTACAATAATAAAGAAATATACAACTTGCCGAGTAAGCATTCATTGCATTACTATAATCTACATATTTGTTGAATCACGGGAAACTAATGTTCTGTCCAGTCCAGTCTAGTTTTATCTAGAAAAAGTGCCAACTCTATATTGCAGAGATTTATCGAATACTATGTATGTACTGAGGGTGCTTCTTTTGCTTTACTTGTAAGATGCATGAAAGTTCACTCAAGGGACGGTAAGCGCAATTTAATGTGACCCATTATGAAAAGATGGCAAGGCCCGATTCACAACAGTACCATTAAAAGCTTTTTCTGATCAAGTATGAATTAGATATTAATGTTTATAATTTTTAAAACTGATTGTTTTTAATAGTTGTTACCCTAGAAGAGTGACTTGCGCATTTCTACTGCAGGTAAATATAAAGGAATGATCCAAACTTAGCACTTTTAACCTAGAATAACGACAAAATCTTCCACAATCATAAAAAGGTTTCAAGCAAGGGATGTAATCCATTGTCTTTGCAATAAGGACAGAGATCAGGGACCAAAGGGAATCGGTGTTATATACAATGTAATTTAGTTTCAAAATTTAATTCATCTTTAAGAACTATTTCATAAATTTTGCATTCAATTTATAGCAAGGGCATATGAACGGGGCGGCAAGAGGGGGGGGGGCAACCTCAGCCATCAAAGATTCTTGAAATGTTTGAATCAATCCCAATACAGATATTTTTCCCCTTTAAAACACAAAATGAATGCTGTTCTTTCCCTACATTTTCACCAAAATCGTCACAACCCACATATTTTCTTTACTCATACCACCGCCAACCCCACAAATTTTTATAAGGTGGATATTCTTAAAGATAACTTTAATATGTTAAGGTTTCATGATGCCGATAACATTTGGAGATTTATGTACTGCATGAAATTTATAAAAGAAATCTTTGAGAAAGTAAAACAACGGAGCAGTGAAGTACTTCTCAATAGTAAGAAAACCATATAAAATTTTTGTTTTTTCTGCATGAATAAATTGTCAAGTTCAATACTATGTTGTATGCATTCGTTATTAAACCATTCTTACAGTTTCGTCAAATTTAGAATTTGTTTATTTGGTAGATGGATACTGGATAGTGTATTAAGATTTTAGATATTTGTTTAAATTGATACGAAGTTTGAAACTTAAAAAAATATATTTAATTTAAGATTTTTCACTTTTTTGCCCCGAAATTTTCATTTGTTTAAATTGATACGAAGTTTGAAACTTAAAAAATATATTTAATTTAAGATTTTTCAGTTCTTTTGCCCCGAAATTTTCCGTTATTTTCATTTCATTCCCAGCAGATTCACATCTCACAAACTAGGCATATCAGATGCTAAATTTAATGTTTTTAATCATGCATTGGAAACATAAATAAATAAATCTGTATGAATGGAAATAGAAAATAAACATTTAATGAATTGCTTTTGAGAAGAAATAATATTTTTTCGGAATAATTTTCTCAATTTGGAGCACAAAAATACGATTTTTGGACAACCATTTCAATTCAGAACCTTAAGGGATTGTCTTTAAACATTCGATTTCAAGTGGAAATTGCCGGGCCCGGTCGTACTCTTCAAACCTATGTCTAATATATATAATGAGTAAGATATCGTCATTTTTCTAGCTCGGAAAGTGTTTAAATTCTGGCATATTCACCCGTCCCTTTTAATTTCTAAGTTAAAAACATGGATATCTTACCCATTCTTGATGTTACAAAGCTTTTAAGGGGACCCTATAAAATATGAAAATGACGTCTACAAAAATCCCCCTCTTCTATATACGTACATGTTAACCTTTTCGTCAACTTTTCAGGTGACTGTACAATTTCCCTGTACATATTACCTATCAGCATTCTATACTCTAACCTTTCTCCGGTTTCAAGGGTACCGTTGTGATTCGGGCATAGCCATCATTGCATAGAGGGTCACTTGAAGTTACGCGTACAGTACAACTAATGTTGTAGAACTTTTATCAATGAATTCTGCTAGATCTGAGTGTAAAAGTTGGAACAATCAAAGATCGTCACAAACAGGTTACAAAGATTAAGGTAATATACATTTTTGTTTATGGCGAGAATTAGTTCTAACTTGTTTACCTAAATTATCAAATTCTCCCGAGGCCATCGATTCTTGAATCAAGTCTTCCACAAGTCTACAACATGATATTTATATTTATTAAATAAAACCCTATTTTTTTCCACTCCCTAAATTGGTCTGTTTTTATAAGGAACTAAACATCTTCAAAGTTCATACCTTATTATTGTAAATTGATTTTTTCAATTACTACAGTGAAACCCTTAATAACGAATACATCGAAAGAATTGATCAAATGTAGTATTCTTCACTTTCTGATAATGGAATGTTGCAGATATTTAGTTTTTTAATTAAATGATTATATGGAACTCTTTAAAACTGTTTCCGCATATTCATGGCTATTTATTTATTTTCGCAAATACTGAAATTTACGAAATAAAGTATAAAAATCATTGAAAAATTGCCAAGACGACATTTGATAAATTCTTCCGATGTATTCGTTATTAAGGATTTCACTGTAGTAAATTGAGAAAAAATTTCACACGTCTTAAAAACTAAAATTGTCACCAAATAATTGTGAATTGATTGTTGCCCTTCTATTTTTTATCTAACAATTTTGTAATTATATTCTCATTTTCTCTTTCTAAAAGAAATAAAGAATTCCACTGATTTCGGAGAAATACTTTTTAATAAAAAAGTAGCGACCCTTTTACCTTTCAATTAAAAGAAAATCAAGTTTAATTTTCATCTTTATATTGCACGTCAAGAAAATATACTGTTTTTGACGGAGAGAAAAAAAATTCAATAAAGTGGAATCCTCGTTATTTGTAACAGTTACAATTGATAGGGCTGCAACTAGGCACCAGAATACATCTGCATTCTGCAGTATCAATACATTTAATTAAAAATAAAATATGAAAATATAAAGTTATAAAAGAGAGATAATCAATTCAAGGAATTTCATTAAAATAACAAGTCATTCGGTTATTCATTCATTGTATTAGAATACTGCAAGTAATTTAGGTATAATAAATTGACTAGAATATAGAGCAATTAATTGGTTCTACGATCATTATATAGAATTATTCACGTTTGGGGTTTATAAAACAATAATTGTAAAAATGATAATGAATTATGTAAAATTGAATTAACTGGTGCGGTTTTATGATTCAATAAGGATATAAATATATATGTGATTTGCACAAGCATTTTGTATATAAACCAAAAAATCTAAATAAGAGAAAGTTTATCTACCTTTCGATCTGATTTCTCGTGGTTTGCTTTTTTATAGTTTTTCTCTCCTGAGTCGCTATTCTAGTTTCATACTGAGCTGTCAATCTTCCCATTCTAGAATATAAATATAGTCAATCTTCCCATTCTAGAATATAAACATAGTTGATCTTCCCATTCAAGAATATAAATATAGTTAATCTTCCCATTCTAGAATATAAATATAGTTAATCTTCCCATTCTAGAATATAAATATAATTAATCTTCCCATTCTAGAATTCAAATATAGTTAATCTTCCCATTCTAGAATACAAATATAGTTAAACTTCCCATTCTAGAATACAATTATAGTTAATCTTCCCATTCTAGAATACAAATATACAAATATGGATAATCTTCCTATTCTAGAATACAAATATAGTTAAACTTCCCATTCTAGAATATAAATATAGTTAATCTTCCCATTCTAGAATATAAACATAGTTGATCTTCCCATTCAAGAATACAAAAATATGTAATCTTCCTATTATAGAATACAAATATAGTTAATCTTCCCATTCTAAAATACAAGTATAGTTATTAGTTAATCTTCCCGTTCTAAAATACAAATATAGGTAATCTTCCCATTCTAGAATACAAATTTAATCAATTTCTCATTCTAGAATATAAATATAGTTGATCTTCCCATTCCAGAATACAAATGTAGTCAATTTCTCACTCTAGAATATAAATATAGTCAATCTTTCCATTCTAGAATGTAAATATAGTTAATTTTCCCATTCTAGAATATGAACATAGTTAATCTTCCCATTCTAGAATATAAATATAGTTAATCTTCCTCTTCTTGAATATACATATAGTCAATCTTCCCATTCTAGAATATAAATATAGTCAATTTTCCCATTCTAGAATATAGATATAGTCAATCTTCCTATTCTAGAATATAAATATCGCTAATTTTTCCATCTGTAGATACAAGTAAAGGTAATCTTTCCATCTGTAAATACAAGTAAAGGTAAACAAATTAAAAGCCATTTTTTCTCTTTTTAATACAAATCTCACCCCTGTTTAACCTAAAATAAACAATTGAGACTTGTGCTTCAGAACATTAAGTTTTTGCAGAATGTCTTAATGTCCCTGCTATAAATGTAATTGACTGCAGGGTACCAGAAAACACTTTTGCTGACTTTTAATAAAATTTTAACGTTTTCAAGAATACAAATATTAGCATTAATCTTAAAAATTAATAAGAATTACAACCCAAGCATTGTTCAAATTATTGTTAATCCGACCTAACCTTTGAAAATAAAGGTTTGGAAGAATATCTTTAGAAAAACAATGTTCTCTGGAAATAAAAAGAAATTGCGTGATAATGGCATCATTACAGAGATGTAATAGAATAGAGTTTTCACTTTTTATGTGAGAAATAACGGGATCCAACCACCTCTATACTTAACTATCATCATTCAGGGGTGAACGGAGAACGTTTTAAGAAAAGGGGGGGGGGTTTAAAAAAGGGTTCAAAGGGGGTGGGGGAGCGACTTAATCCCCCCTATACATACACATTTTAGTTAAGTTATCCAACCAACAACTTTTCCCTTCTACATGAAACACCACCCCCACCCCACAGAAAGAAAAAAATACAGTGATCCCCAAAATAAACCATGATAGGAAAGAAGTCGTCTTCTTTAAATGTGTTGATTAGAAACGTGGTCCATGATCAATCAATCATTATTTCCGAGAGATAAATCAGTCAAACAATTACAAATTACAAAATATCAAACGAGATTAAATGAAAAACATTTTAATTCTGCTTTAATCTGGTATCAAACATCATATTAGATCGTCAATTGGTCTAAATTACCATTTTTGGGACTAATCGGAAAATTTAAGAAGAATGAATCATTTAAAAAAAATTGATTAAGGCTAATTTAAAAATTTTCTTGCAGAAAATGCTTGGTTTTTCGAGTATTATGTAGTGCATATTTTGACGTTAAAGCTACGAGATAATCTAATATGATATGCTCTTTAGTTCACCCTTGCCAAAAACATTGTAAAATGCAACGTACAATAAATACACAAAAACACGTGTACAACCCCTACTGAACAGTGAACGGTATTCTCTGTTCATGCTGTAAATTGGATTGATTATGCACTAAACGAAGTAATTGGGCTTAAAAACTACCTACCTATGCTCAAAAACAGCTTCGTTAGCTCTAAAAGCGCGATATTTTTGGTTTTGTTTCTGACGTTGACTCGGAGTTCCAGACCCAATACCTCCATGGTCTTAAAAAATAACATTTTCAACTTTTTAACTTATTCAAAGATTTTCAATTTGTATTCATGCACACATCCTCTTAGATCAACTGTATCCGATTTTCAAAAAAGATGCCAAAAAGTATTTCAAAACATGCAAATATCTTTTTTTGGTAAGAGTAAGGCAAAACAAGACTAGTGGATCCTAAAGTTTACAGACTAAGTTATGCCTAGACATTTGTTGTCCTCTATACTCTATGAAATAACATTTTGATTCTCAGGGCACCGCTCAGACTTCAACCTTGACTTGTGACATTTCCCCCTCTTTTTTTGAGGTTGTTCACAGTACAGTACGTACTTACAGTTTACGCTGTACATACCTAAATATTGTCTATGTTGAGGAGCTATATGATCTATTTCAGGATATTTATGTTCTTCTTCGTCTTCAACCTTCTCCTAAAAACAATATTGTCGATGTTGAGGAACTATATGATCTATTTCAGGATATTTATGTTCTTCTTCGTCTTCAACCTTCTCCTAAAAACAATATTGTCGATGTTGAGGAGCTATATGATCTATTTCAGGATATTTATGTTCTTCTTCGTCTTAACCTTCTCCTAAAAACAATATTGTCGATGTTGAGGAGCTATATGATCTTTTTCAGGATATTTATGTTCTTCTTCGTCTTCAACCTTCTCCTAAAAACAATATTGTCGATTTTGAGGAGCATTATGATCTATTTCAGGATATTCATGTTCTTCTTCGTCTTCAACCTTCTCCTAAAAACAATATTGTTGATGTTGAGGAGCTTTATGATCTATTTCAGGGTATGCATGTTCTTCTTCGTCTTCAACCTTCTCCTAAAAACAATATTGTCGATGTTGAGGAGCTATTTGATCTATTTCAGGATATTCATGTTCTTCTTCGTCTTCAACCTTCTCCTAAAAACAATATTGTCGATGTTGAGGAGCTATGTAATCTATTTCAGGATATTCATGATCTTCTTCGACTTCAACCTTCTCCTAAAAAACATTGTCGATGTTGAGGAGCTATATGATCTATTTCAGGATATTCATGTTCTTCGTCTTCAACCTTCTCCTAAAAACAATATTGTCGATGTTGAGGAGCTTTATGATCTATTTCAGGATATTTATGTTCTTCTTCGTCTTTTAAACCATCTCCTAGTGATGTGAATTAAGTTCTTTTAGAGTCAAAATTTGGCATAGAGTTTGCTCTTCTTGCACTTTATCAAATACTGACCCTGACAGAAAATATAGGTTAAAAAACGAACAAAAACGACTCAAAAAACGAGCGTGTTATAGAGATCGTTTTTAGATGTTTTTTAAGGCAAGTGTAATAGAAGAAAACTTTAACAGAACACAGTTTGACATCTTGAAGCTTTATTGAAAGTTTTCAAAAAACGACCCAAAAAGATTAACAACACTAGCCACACCTTATTTTTCATCATATACCTTTTTGAGACCCTTTCCACAAAAAGATGCTTCATATTCAGAAATTTTAGGAAATTTTACCGAATATATGAAGAAAAATGAAGAGAGGGTTGCACCGAGGTCTAGTGATTAATAATACCTTGTAATATAATCCATATTCTCCAGAACTCTGCTCTTCTCTCATTTCATCTTCTTTAAACTTCCGCTGCAAGGATTTGAACGCTGAATCTATCTCACTGAATTTAATTAATTAATTAATTGTACGCTAAATTGATCTAACTGAATTAAATTAATAAATTTTCATCTTAATTTTTCTAACTGAATTTAATTAATTAATTAATTGTACGCTAAATTGATCTAACTGAATTAAATTAATAAATTTTCATCTTAATTTTTCTAACTGAATTTAATTAATTAATTGCATACGCTGAATCTATCTCACAAAATTAAACTAATTAATTGTGCGCTGAATCTATCTCTCTGAATTAAATAAATTAATTGTACGCTAAATCTATCTCACTGATTTAAATTAACTAATTATACGTTGAATCTATTTAACTAGCTCCAGTACAAAAGGTAGAAGTAAAAAATGTCGAATGATCAAAAGGTAGAACATACTAAAGGTAGAATTTTCCAATTTTTGAGGAGCAAGGAAATTTTCCAATTTTTGAGAAGCAAGAAAAATTTTGAATTTTGCAGGAAATCTGCCAAACGTTATTAAAAAAAAATTCCCAAAACTGCATTTCGCGTTGGAATTCAGCATGGAGCAACTGCTACAAAATTTCGACATTTACAAAAATGTTAAATTAAATTTAGTTAAGTAAGGTTAAGACAATTTTTGGTCTAAGCGCTGCGGCTGGGATGGGCTAAGGGTCCGAGCGCTGCGGCCTCATAAATGGTAATTCTTTATTTTAGCTTACTATTTCACGCTTCATGTTTAGAAATTTTCTTCAAAATTTGTAACTGTAATAGTCTTTTCTAGATAAGATTGCTTAATGACGAAAATATTCAAGTTTACTATGCTCTGTAAGACACTGTAAAAAATAAATAAAAAAGCTTACAGGACATTCATTATAATGGCTGTGTCGGTAGTTTCAAGTGACTCTTGAAACTAAGTCCGATACACATGGGTGGTACCCTGCATAGCTTTCTCTAATCAAGCATGCATAAGATATATATGTTTCTAATTTTGCATAGGATATATTGTGGGTTTGTTGGTAAAGTGAAATGCGCATTTCTGCTGCAGGAATACTTTGTAGGAATGAATTGTCAGAATTATCGCATTTTCAAGCTAGAAAAACGATGTTATTTTCGACAATATTGATCAAATATCCAAAATCCAACTTTTTAAAAAGTTTTCATGTTAAGCATAAGAAAATAATCTTTGATGTGAAACCATTATTGCATACTTTTCTACAAAAATACTTATATTAGTTCTTAGCGGGTTAGTTTTAATTAAATTTACGATTTTTTAAAGATAAAGATTTACCCCACCTCTTTTAGACTTCTATTTCGAATACAAATATGGAATATGGATAATGGATAGATTATAACATCCTTGATAACAATAAATCTCATATATAAACTTATTTTTGTAAAAAGTGACAATACAACTTTGCTAATTTTCTCAAGAACAATCCCTCAAAACTTGTTCCAAGTAATTAAAGGAAATATAATCAATATGGTTTTTATTCTAAATAGTGAAAAACTGGATTTATCAAGAAATGTATTAAGTATACACAAACGATGGGACTTAAACTGGACTGCATAGACTTAATTTCAAGTAAGTCAATACGTTACATTTACCAAGAAATGTATATAGTTAACACAAAGGATGAGACTTAAACTGGACTGGAGACTTAATTTCAAGTAAGTCATTACGTTACATTTACCAAGAAATGTACATAGTAAACACAAAGGATGAGACTTAAACTGGACTGTATAGACTTAATTTCAAGTAAGTCAATACGTTACATTTATCAGATAATTAGTATAAAAAATATTTTAAAAAAAACTTGGGAACTATTGTTTTGTGATGTAGATCTTTTGTTAATCAACAGATTAATTTAATCTTTATTAGATATCCCTAGAAGTGCGGAAAACAAACAGCCAATCAGAAGCCAATGAATTTTGAAATCAAACAATGAGAGAACAGTGAAAGTAGGGATATTCAAAATCAAGAGATCAAGCCGATTCTCCATAAAATTTAATGTGGAAATCGAGTCAAGCAATCGATATTATAGGTATCCAGCATAAAAGTTCCCAGTAAAATCGGACTTTTTTTAGTGCTAAGTATGAAGGGTTTGTATTATATTGATAATCAAATATTTGATGATTAAATAAAAAAGTTCAATCTCCTAAAAGTAAATTCATGGAACATGAAACCTTAAATGTCCAACAGAACCAGTTTCCAAAATAAGTTTACTATTATTCTCTTTCATAACATAAAAAGGTAATGTTTCTCATTGTAAAGGGGCTAGCAAAGGAGAAAGAGTGATATTATTTAAATTTTAGGGATTGGAAAGCAATTATTTGCAACGAACTCTAATTTTATAATCCTTTTATTTTTGCATTCTAAATTCGTAGACCTCAGATGTTTCAAAACAATAATTCTGCTAATTCAAACAGTCAAAGTTTGAAATATCAAGAGTTTTCACCATCTGAGGAAAGTAAGCCCAAATTCATAGCACAAAGCATGATAAGTTGAGAGCTAGACAGCTTGAAGATTAAGTATGATTCTTGAGAAAAATATTTTCCAAAATTCCTTTATTCCTGGCATTTCTAAAATGTGCTCTGCCGTAAATATATGCTTTTAAAATTATTAAGGATACCGAATTTTCTAGGTCGTCTCTTAACGACTATGTTTCGTGGGACACCCTGTATATGAATACATATATAAAAGATATGAAGTATAGTTTTACAGATATGAGAAACAGGAGGATTAGACTAATCCACAGGAGATAGAGGTTCATGTAGAGTAGAGCGAGAAAAAAAAGAACAATAATTTATCATTAGAATATCTTTTGATGGCACTGCCTTTATCAAAGGCCATAACAAAATGTTTAGAGGGAGGGAAGATAGAGTTTTTTTTGAACATTTGACTGTGACGTATTGAAACTACTTAGAACTAGTTTTATCAAAACAATAGTGAACAGCGATCAGTTTGAAATTTGCATGAGCCAGCAGGCTTTGGCTTATTTAAAAAGTAGACTTTAACCTTAAATTAGTTCTTGGGCCGTCCCTGGAAAATCTACACAAACCCGATCTCCCCTACCTTTAGTATGTATATATATAGTACCTTGCAATTTAATCTCTATTTATAATTTGCTTACTCCATATATATACATGAAGGTACACACTACTACCTGAATTTATCTGTAAGATCTGAGGTAATATCTGGATGATAAAGTTTGACTAGCTCTATGTACTTCCGCCTACAATCACAACCTGGTTTGAATTTCAAGCTAGCAAACTCATATTCTAATGTAAATACAGGGGGCTGTGGGAATTAAGCCGTCACTAGAAAAATGAATTCCCTTTTATTCCAAACTGGGGACTGAGCCCCTCTACTGCACTGGAATGTTGAGCCCCTCGCGACAATTTTTTAAATTTAAACTATCGTTTTCTTGCTTTGACTTTTACTTTAGTTTTACACAATTAAAATTATCCATAATAGAGATTAAAAAACTTCTTTAATCAACAATTAAAACTATATCTTTAAAAACTTTTAGAATCTATTTTCAACAAATTTATTTTAAAGACCTCTTTTAAATATTTTTTACCACACTTTTCAATACTTGTCCCCAAAAGTTCTGTATTTATCCCTCAAAAGTTATTAATTTTTTTTCCAGCGAATAAAATCGTAAAAAACATGCCTAACATCTGGGCGGAGAAGGGTGATATTCAAGAAAATATATCCCACTGGTTCAAAGGGAGAGGGAAAGTCTTCCAAATTATTCCTAAAATGTTACCTCACAGATTCCTTATCAGAATTATCTGGAAGTTCAAGTATCCTAAAATAAAAATATTTGATCTTAAGAACTAGAACTTTCCTATTTAATCAGAAATAAAACGTAGCGTAGATATTGTGTGTATGTAAATGTGTTTACACGGCCAACCTGTTACACCTTTAGATATATTAAAAAAAAATGTTGTACTTGCCCCGCTTGATAAGAAATGATAGGTGAGGACGGATCGAAAAAGAAGGTCTTTTTTGCTAAGTGTAAAACGATGTTCAAAGTTAGAAAATACAACCAAAAGAATACAGCAGTAACACATATGGAAAAACAAACCCCAACCTTTTTAAAAACAAAGTCTTGTATAATTGGAAGATTAATACTTATTCACAGATTTGTAAAGGAAGAACAAACCTGTAAAAATGTGAATATTTGGAAGAATAAGCCCGACAAAGGATAGATGAGAGGGTAAGGTGACAAAAATTTGGAAGAAGTATCCATCCTAAATATTAAAAATAACGAAAATTTTTGGAAAATGAGAATTTATTCCTCTTCAATGATTTAGTTTTTAAATTCTATTAAATCAAATGGAAATAATTAGCGAAAAAAGTTGTTGATTAAAAATGCCAATTCTTGGATTTCTTTTCATTTCAAAGAAGAAGTAAAGTTCTAAAATGGTTAAATTTAAGATTTTCTGATAAATTATGATTTTTTCTTTAGAAACACGACTTGAATTAAGGGACAGTTTTAAAACAAATACAAGATTAAAGGGCACTGTCCACGTAGTTTCAAGAGTTACGAGTCCGATTAACAACGATAAATTCATTCAGGACAATAAAGTATTATTTAACTTGGAGAAAGAGATAAATTCAACCAATTTACTTCCTTTTCCTGCTGAATAAAGCCGGAAATGATTTTTTTCAACCCCGCTATGAATCAGGCATGTTATTAAGTATCAAGTATCAAGGATTGCTTTTGATCACGTCAATAGTCTCTTTACATTGTATGAACTTTTATGAAATTTTACAATTTTAAAAAATTGTTCAAATATTTAATTTGTTCTTCTTTTAATAAGGATTTTACCCGAAGTTTAAAATGTTTACTTTATCGATGCAGTTCGTCAAGAAAGTAAATTCAACTGATTAATTGACAGGGGGAATCTGGAAAATTTTAAAATAAATGTTTCTCATTTCTAAAATCTGGATGCAAAACCTATTTTGATTATTTGTCTAAGCTTAAGTAAACTGTTTCCAATCTGGAAAATCTTTGTGAAGAAATGGATCAAAATCTTCAGGAAGCAGATATACATTTTCTTGACAAATTATTCTTCTGAAAATTTCGGCGGTGGGGGTTTTATCTTCATAATATCGTCTCTATTTTGTATTTTACTGTATTACCTTGTATCCTGACATGACAATTGTAAGATCTGGTGATAAGGTTCCCTAGCATCATTTTAAACACTAACAGCAAAATACAAATTCAAGAATTGACATTGACAAACTCAAAAACAAACTTAAATTTAATTTTCTTTAACTTTTATTAGATTTAAACTAATGTTTACTCGGGAATTTTATATTTCCTGAACATGTTTACTCTGAAATAATTAATTAGTTAGTAGACGGATTTAAATAGTTTAGAAGGAAACTGCTGCTGTTTGGTAATCCAAATATTATGTCAGCTACATGTGGGAGGGAACCCGGCCTCGACCGTCATGAGCCTCCCAGATTTGCTAGCAGTAGCAAGCCTCCTATTTTTGAAAAATTAATTATGTTTAGATAAATCTTGTGATGCAAAACTATTGCTTTAATGAATTATCTAATTTTTTAATAAAATCAGCAAAAAAAAATATATTTTATAAATAACAGATTTTTAACAAATCAAATCGAATTCGTTTTAGAATTTGCTTATGAAATATCTTCCTTTTCGAGTAAATTTTTTTTAGTTTTAGTATGAAATTTGTACTGCCTAACGGAGGCTCGGTGCTGCATAGCAAGTCTGTGAGGCTCTTGGCGGCCGGGCATTCCCTCCCAAATACAGGTGTATAAACTGTTCAGTACTGTTCTCAGGTCTGTTGTTAAATATTTAAGGTTGTTTTTTGCTTTTAAGTTGCATAAGAATAAAATATGAAAAGTTAAAAACATTAAATATTTCATTTTCATTAAGTTTTCTATTAATGCAAAAGATTCATCTTTTTTAACATTTGTTCTCAAAATTTGTTCTTTAGTCAAAGTGAGAAATTTGCTTATTGTGATAAAAGCGAACTAATCGATTATTGTGATAAAAGCGAACTAATCGAGCCTATAATTTTGAATATTATGGAGCCATTTTCAAGTCAAACCTTGGAATATTTAAAAAAGACCTTTAAACGATACCCATCCTTTTGCATAAAAAACTGTGCACTGTGTAGCAAACAACCGCAGTACAATTTAAGTCAATTTGAGGGTGACATCGAACGACTAAATACTTAAAAACTAACTTGTGCATTATATTTTTCTATATCAAGAAATTTAAAATTAAGTTGATAAGTATTCAGCACAGCCCTTATGTTTTTATTCTAAATGTATATAATATATATTATAATATATATTTGACTAAATGTAAATATATCTACATCACACAATATAGAACTAGAAATGACTACAATCCTCTTCCCAAAATATAGAGTAAATTTCTGAAGAAAACTGAGATTTGCCTTTGTAAATATCCGTCCAGGTACCAACAAGAAACTTTTATTTTATAATCATTTTCTCTAAATTCAAATCAAAAATAAAAATATATAACAAAATAAATTAATTTAAGAGGATACTGCAACTATATTGAAAAAATATTGTCAACTTCTGTAGAAATCTTAAATGAAAACTTTAAAAATAAATTAAACAAAAATAATGCTACCTAAAACTTATCAATTATTTTTTTTCACTTTTAATATTTTTTTTTTCATACATTTAATTGTCTCAGAGTTGATGAACTATATGCCATTCAAGATAAATTAATCGAAAGACTAAAACTTATTTATTTTTGATTATATTCCTGGCAAAAATGAAAGCCTCGTTAGCGAGCAGTTTAGCGATTCCTTTTCCCTCTAGAGAACGTGGAACCACTGTAGTCCATAATTCCAAGCTGTCACTGCAAAAGCATTTTTTTTATTAAAATGCAATATTAAATTACTAGCTTGGGAACCCAGCCTAACCTGGAAGCTAAACGTTTCTTTAAAACTTAATATGTAGAACTCTTAAAACAAGAACATTCCCGTGGTTTTGAGACAAATCGGTCACGGCTTTCATCAGTTATCATCGAGAATATCTACACATAAATTTAGCTTGTATGGATGTCTGTTTGTTTGTCTGTTTGCTGGTTTATTACCTGGATATTTGTTTATATTTAAGGAAGGCGGGTTCATGGATATCTGGTTTATTACCTGGATATTTGTTTATATTTAAGGAAGGCGGGTTAATGGATATCTGGTTTATTACCTGGATATTTGTTTATATTTAAGGAAGGTGGGTTAATGAATATCTGGTTTATTACCTTGATATTTGTTTATGTTTAAGAAGGTGGGTTAATGGATATCTGGTTTATTACCTTGATATTTGTTTATATTTAAGAAAGGCGGGTTAATGGATATCTGGTTTATTACCTGGATATTTGTTTATATTTTAGGAAGGCGGGTTAATGGATATCTGGTTTATTACCTGGATATTTGTTTACATTTCAGGAAGGCGGGTTAATGGATATCTGGTTTATTACCTGGATATTTGTTTATATTTAAGGAAGGCAGGTTCATGACCCTCCACCTCTATTGTAAATTTCATCTCTCCCTGAAAAAGTTTGAAAACTTTACCAATTTCTCAGATTTGTTGCTAACACTGGAAAGTTAACGTCTAATCCGGAATCCCAAAACTAAACCAAACTAAACCAAACTAAACCAAACTAAACCAAAACTAAACCAAACTAAACCAAACTAAACCAAAACTAAACCAAACTAAACCAAACTAAACCAAACTAAACTAAACTAAACCAAACTAAACCAAACTAAACCAAACTCAACCAAACTAAACCAAACTAAACCAAACTAAACCAAACTAAACCAAATTAAACCAAAGTAAAAACAGTATTTTTCATTCTTAACGAGTCATATTTTCTTTGATAAAACATTAGAGACCCCATTAAAAATATTTGTTTGTTTTTGTCAAAATTTCAATGAAGAATTTCTTAATTTCATACCAATACATGCAATATCTGCCTGTACAATTGACAGCCTTGAACTAAATTTCAATGCTACTATTGTACAATGTTCAATGGTACATACTTTGATAGAAATACGACATTTAATAAGTACGATTTCTATTGAAGTGTTTCGTGTTCATTATTATTATTAATAATAATAATAATAATAATAATAATAATAATTTAAAATCATATGACTTGAGTCTAACAATCGCCCTTTTATGCCATATTCATTAATGTGGTATTTATGTTGAAAATTAATTCACAGAAATTGAGATTTAGATTTTAAATAAAGAAGTTCATAAAGTTAAAAAATATTTTTAAAAATTAAATTGAAATTTGTTATTCTTTTAGTATCTTATGCATTCAACTCATCCTTCTTTATGTAGAAAGTTTATTAATTCTATTCAAAAGAAAGTGAAGGTTGCAATTGCAGGGATTTGATTAGTCTAGCTTTTAGTATTATTAAAAAATGCAAGAGACAAATTTTAAAAAAAGAATTTAAGACAAAATTAACTTATTTTTTTTCAACAGAAAAAATAAGTTTAATGTTAAAAACAAATTCCCGCGTAATTTGACAGCAATCAAATAAGAGAATTAATACTTCTAAACACAAACTTTCAATCCAAACCGTAAAAAAATCAAGACATAATTAGGGGACATCTTAATATCTGTCAAACCAATGACGCTAAAAGATTGACAGAATGCTAAATATCGCCTTAAGTTTACACAAAAATATTGAACAAGAAATTTCTTGTTTCTAGATTATTAGAGTGGCATGTCCTATTCACAACAGCGCATTTTACAGCTTGTCTCATAAAACTTGAATGTTTCTCTTTTTGAAAATTAATTATTTTCATTTGTGGTTTCTCTTAACTTACGGATTCCTGCTTGCAGTAACAGTCAGAATCAAACACATTTGAAACTAGAAAACCGACGATATCTTCCACGTTATTTATTAGATACAGATTATGAATCGGACTCCTCTGTAAATAACAACGACAGTCTCTAATCTTTATTTTCAAAGGAGAAAATAAATCATTTGTGTAGGGAGGCGGTGGAGCGAAGGGTTATATCCCCCTCACCCCCCTCCTTGACTAGAATAAACATCTTTGATCTCGAGGTTACCTTGTTATGTTTGACCAGAGAACTGGTTTCATTAAATAAACTACTCAAGTATCTGCTTACTCCAACATTAACTAAATAAACAACAAACATTTCAAAACTTTTTTTTAGAAATTATAAAAAAATTCATTCATTCATTCTTCTATATATAAATTTAGCTTGTCTGTTTGTTTTTTTGTATCCAATAAACGTCTAAACGGATGAACCGATCAGGCCCAAATTTTGTGTGGGGCCCCAGGGAAGGTTTATGAATGATAAAATTTTTAAAAACTTGTGTTTAAAAGTTTTTTGTTGTAAAATTTTGAAAATGCGCGAAAATTTTTTATGAAATCCGCAAACTTTTTTTGGTTTTAGTTATATACTGTACAAAGAGAAGATGCTTACAGATAAAGCCACAATTAAAAGTTGAAATAGAAGGTAGCCTAGTCTGATAAATTCAAGAACAAATTTACCCCCCAAAGGAGGCGTTGCATCTATGACATTTTTCAATATCTCAGTAAATAATGGTGTTTGCCGGTGCTGCTTTTGCATGTATACTTATCTGATGCTCTAGGAACTGGATATGGCGTCAAATCTTCAATATCTCTATTCGGAGACCGGAGATATGGGATAAAGTACCTGCAACGCCTCCTTTTTTTAATGATTTTCCAAGCTTTCACAGTACATATTCATTGTTAACTAATGTATAGTATCCCTACAAGTACATATTCATTGTTTACTAATTTAGATACAGTATCCCTGCAGTACATATTCATTGTTTTTAATATACAGTATCCCTGAAATACATATTCATTGTTTACTAATAAGCAGTATCCCTACAATGCATATGGCCTGCAGTGCATATTCATTGCTTACGAACAAACTGCATCCCTGCAGTACATATTTTTTATTTAATAATATACAGTACCCCTGTAGTACATATTATTTGTTAACTATTAAAAATATATCGTGTTTTTTGCTTTTAAACAAATCTGTGACACGTTTATACGAAACTCGTGATCTAGTTTCAAAAAACTCTTTTACCTATAATCATCGAACTCGGCGAATCCGTACTTTCCGTTCTTGATGAGTACATTGTGTACTCTGCCGTACTTCCTAAAATAACAATTCATGTACTTTTGGGTGAAACTTTTGCAGCGACTTAACTCGATAATAGTCAGCATTAACTTTTAAATGAGATTTAACGCACTAAATTAAAGAAAGTTGTCCATTTCTGAGACAAATTTGGTTTTCAACGTTCAAGGTTGAAGCGTCGATGTTTAAAATATAATTCCACTCATTTCTGTCCAATTCCAAGGGTCAGATACGATTAATACTAAAACACCAAAAGTTTATTTGGTATAGCTTTTGATATAGCTTTTTGTGTCATCTTTTCACAAGTAAAAAATTGGGGTATATGACCAAAAAAGGAAACAGCAAAGGGGTGAAGAGGACGGTAATTATTTCTGAGATATCGGAAATATGAGTAATTTCCAAGACAATTTTTGGCCCCTCTCCCCCTCCTACTAATAAATTTGTACATACATCTCATATTTAATACAAAGATAAAGTTGGTCTTGTGGCTGCAGCGCCCGGACCCTAAGTCTGTCCTAGCCGCAGCGCTTGACCCCCCCCATGTCTGTTCTGGCCGCAGCGCTCAGCCCCCTATCCTGTCCTAGCCGCAGCGCTCGGCCAAGAAGGTGTCCTACCCTAACATAACCCTAAAATATACTAATTTTATTGATATTAAAGTCTGTCCTGGCCGCAGCGCTCGGGCCCTTACCTTGTCCTAGCCGCAGTGCTCGGCCCTTAAATTGTCCTATCCTGACCTAACTCAAAAATAATACAAATAAATATTATTTGTTGTTAATATTGGAAATACTGGTCAGGTACAAAATTGATAAGAGGGTGGTTGGGGACCTCGCCTCCTCTCCGGAACACGTCCTTGAGGTCCTGCCAGGACACACGGGAGCTCAGGTTCTCTACTCGGAGGATTTGTTCTGAACTCCGAAGGATTGTTGATTAGCTTGATTCTTTAATCCTTCTTCAACAGTCTTCAAATAAAGAACTTCAGAAAAACAATAATATTGGCTTGACTCGGCACTTGACGCAAAAACAAGTACACATAAAGAACCTTGTTTATTTCTGCATTAAAATTTATAATGTGAAAATTAAATGAATTCTATTGTGAGACCCATTTAACTGGCGACTGACTTAGTAGTCCAACAAACATAAAGCATACAAGTGTAAACACATCAATTTCACTTAATGAGTAAATTTTCAATTTAATAGTTAAACTCTTTGCTATCAATACAATAGACATAAGATTGAAAGGTCGTCTTCCAATTTCATAGCTTTATGTGACTCTCTGAGTATTCTCCAGAAAGCGGCTAAAATTCAGTAAAAAAGTTGATTTTTCCAACATTTTAGGAAGCTTCGGCAATGTATTATTCCCCTCTATATTTATTGCATCCCTAAAATGAAGATAAATAGTTAAATCCACCTGTTTTCCTCGTAGATAAAGGTATGCAGTAAACCTAGCTGCTCTCCTGCATAAAACCAATCTTAAAACTTAAGAAAACCAAAAACTCGGTGTCGTGCATCAGTTCATCTGCCATGCTATAGTTTCTCTCCCCCAGGATTTTAACCATATCAACATTATGTAAGAGAGTGATATGACACTTGCCAATGCTTATTAATGTATTTTGATCTGATTAATCTATAATCTATATCTTTAATAGTTGTTGATTGTTTGATATTTGAAAGAGAGTGGACGCTCAAGAGGAAAAAACTTGTGTTTTCCACCACTGAACGTTTTAAAACTTCATGCACATTTAATTATGGAATTTAATAATTTTTCGCACTGGTTTAGATGTCTAACTAAGCATTTTTCAAAGATTTAAGGGGAGAAATATAACAGTGGAATGTAAGCTAGCATTTTTCTAAATTTTTTATTAATAATATTCGTTTTTCACTCTTATTGTTCTGCAAAAATAAAAATAAATATAATATTTGGATCTAAAAGAAAATTTAGAAAGAGTAAAAAACGAATTTGAATCATGAAAAATTGTCACAACCAAATAAAAAAAAACACAAAATCGTAAACAATAAAAATTAAAATATCTAAAATAAAATATTAAGGTTGGTTCCTGATGGGCCAGGTCTCTGACAGCCTCTGGATAAGCTGAGGTCCAACACGAGGATGTGCAAACAGTAAACCTACTCTTTCATTTCTTTGATTCAAACATACACTGATTGTAAAAATATAGTGTTTGTGAAAATTAAATTGTATGTATATTGTATAAATATCTAATTTAGGTTGATAAAATATATTTTTAATTAAAAAATAACATTTTTAACAAACTAAATAGTTTTATAAATAATTTTATGTTTTTAGAAAAAAAAGAAAAAAATCTTACGTCAAAAATTATATTGTTAGCTAAGATAATATTTGTTGTAAAAGCATATGGTTTATTAAAATTATGTGGTTTGTTAATATTTGATAATAAAAATGGTTTGTAACAAATTAGTCATAGATTTAACGAATTTTTTTTTGGTAAGAAAAAATGGTTCGTGAAAATCATGCTTAAACTTAATAAATCAAAGTTGGGTTGTTAAAGTTTATGTTAGTTGAGAAAAAAATCCGCGTTTTCAAAAAATAAGGCTTCATTCAAAATTAGATTAACAGTTAAGAAATAATAGGCTTTGCGAGAAACTTGTGTGTAAACAAATATCATTCTGCCTCAACAAATTCCGTAAAAATATATTCCATTTTGGCAGCAAATTAAATTGTTGGTCAGAATAATATCATTTGTTAACAAATACAAAAGTTGTAAACATGAGTTGGCAACATTTAATGTTGTGATCAAATTAAATAAAATTCCTAAAAGTTTCTGCAACATTTTATCATTCTATCTGAAACCAAATGATGGTAGCGATTGTTTGAAAACAAAAAAACTAAATGCCTTAAGTATACAGATACAATAATGTTATAATATTATGTACGAATTTAAATCTGTACATAATTGAAAAGTTGTAAACGTAAAGTGTACTCAGAACAGAAAAAATTAAAGTGTTAAAGGAACTTAAATTAGTAAAATAATGTTTAGAATTGAAAAAAAAACTCCACTTTTAATTTTTAGTTCCTCCAAAAACATGAAAACCAAGCAACGTCGTTTTCATCAAGGGGCAAAGAGAAAGTAGTAGGTTGGGGCATGGAACACATTATATAGTATAGTTAAGTACAAAGTAAAAACAATATGTTGACAGTAACTTACAGAGTCAATTATTTCAAAACAAAAATTAATTTCTTTCAAACAAAATATATTCAATCCCCAAAAAAAACTTTTTGTTTTTGAATCTCTTACACCAACCCATTCAGATTACTAATTTTACAATTACAACTTTGTAGCTTGCATCAGTCCTTGAAAACAAGTTGTATGAACTCAAAATGAACTCATTATCTGAATCTGTTATAACGATGTTAAAAATGTAAACTTGGGATTCCAGGATCCGGGATTTATCCTAGTCCTTAGACCTGGAGCGAGACCTGGATTCCCTAGACTTGGACTTTGACCGGTTGGACTTAGATCTCGACTTTGACCTCGATTTCTTGGCCTTCGACCTCGATCCTCCGGACCTGGAGCGGGATCTTGATTTCCTCGAGTTGGATCTTGATCGCCTTGATCGAGATCTAGACCGAGAGGATCTTGATCGACTTCTGGAACGCGACCTTGAACGTGATGATCGCGAGTATTCCTTGATGAGCTCGATCCTACGGCCGTTGATCTCCTCCCCCTGGTACTTCCTGTACACACGCTCCAGGTCGTCTGACGTTTCGAACTCGACCAATCCTTCGTTCCTTCGAGTCTAAATAAAATATTCAGATTTTAGTATTTAAAGAGATTCTCAAGTATTAATAATGTGTGCTGATACATTCCTTGGAAAACCTTTTCAGACAAAAGAAAATTTTGGAATGGAGCTCAAGTCAGATTTCTGATTGGTGTTTAGCTGTAATTATTGATATTATTTGAAGAAAAAACAAAATAGTGAACGACAAATATTATGTCGTTTTCTATTGATGTATAGAATATCTTATAAGTTACTTCAAAGTTTTTTTCCCCCACTATCACCGTCGATTAATTTTATATTTAAACAGTGTTTCTAACAAATAATAATTAAATGATGTGATTACCGTGTGAGCCTCGGCGAATGTGACCTCGCCTCCTCTCCGGAACACGTCCTTGAGGTCCTGCCAGGACACACGGGAGCTCAGGTTCTCTACTCGGAGCCTTAACATATATTATATCTATCTATCATGTATCATCATTTCCTGAACTCAGAACTTTTGTCTTGTAAATCTCCGGATAGCATTGATCTCACTATCAAGCCTCTGGATTCATATAATTCCTTTTCGATATCCCGTAGTACCCTATGGCAAAAATTGTATTTTACAAAAAACAAGTCAACAAAAATAAATACAAAACTCGGAACCAAAAAAATTAATCTTTAAAAAATGTTTATGGTCTCGACCCGGATCCGGATCCAGGTTTCAAATCCGGATCCAAATCAAAATTAAATGGATCCATCAGATTCTCTTTTACAGAAATATTACTCAATTAGATGAAAAATAGTATTAGTTGGAACTTATATGTATCGCTAATCTTAAATGCTCAAAGTTGATCTCGATGTTCAATCTCGATATCAAAGAAGAATTAAATTGATTAGGCCTGTAGAAGACGGAGATCACGACTAGATCCCAAAATTCAGAACATAAAAGTTCTGACATCTGTTTGATTTATCATTAAAATGGTCCATCTTGAATCTTTTTGCATTTTTCGCGAAGGTTCCTCATTAAGTGAAAATATTATCAATAATTTTATAATTTTGTATTTGATTTGAAGCTTAATTGGACAAGCGAATTTGAACAAGGATTTCGTAAAAAAAATACTTTTATTTAGTTAATAAGAGAAGAACTACTTGACGCCCATCTTTAACACCTTGAATTACTATGCCAGGATTAGTGTTCCAAGAGGTTACACAAGGAGGACATAAATCTAGAGGACTTGATCACTTCTCCGAGAGGACCTAATTGAAATTCCCGTTATGCTCCTACCTAGAGTCCTGGGGATAACTCAAGTATTCCAAGTAAGTAGTATATTAATAAGACGTCAAAGAAAAGGGATAACAGGGATAACGTGATTATATAAACCGGCCTTTACGAGCATAACGAGTTCTCTGTCTGTGGGGCATAACAGGCAGTACACAAGTATACCATAACAGAATCGGTTTTATTCTTACGACTTAATGGATAATGATGCGAATAGAAAACTAACCGATCCAATATCATATGGGACACCCTGTATCCAAAGTGTGTTAACCTATATTTTGTACGCTGTGGTGGTCCATATTTTCCAGTCCAGGGGGCTCTTCCTCTACCCTCTCCACTTCGCTTTACACCCTATACTCAAACCAATATTTATTAAAAGTACATGAGGGAAAAATTTGATAAAAAGCATATTTCAATGATTTTGAAAATCATGTTAAAATTATTAGATCCTCCCAAGTACGTCAAATTAAACGGACAATTTTCATTTTTGACATCTTAAAATTGCAAATCTTAATTGTTTGTATTATATTTCCGTCGTAAACTCAACTTTTAAATGGTTAAATGGTTAAATGTAAAAATATTTTGAGGTTTCCTTGGCGTGCTCCACAGTAACCTTGTACCCTAGTAGATCCTTTCCATGTAGATCATACACAGCATCATCAGCATCCCTACAGTACATATTCATTGCTTACTTATACAGTATCCCTGCAGTACATATTCATTACTTCCTAATACAGTATCCCTGCAGTACATTTTCATTGTTTACTAATACAGTTTCCCTGCAGTACATATTTATTGTATACTAACATACAGTATCCCCACAACACACAATCATTGTTTACTAATATACATTATCCCTGCAGTACATATTCATTGTTAACTAATATACAGCAACCCAACAGTACATATTCACGGTTTCCTAATATACAGCATCCCTACAGTACATATTAATTGTTAACTAATATATAGTATCCCTGCAGTAAATGCTCAATGTTTACTAATATAAAGTATTCCTGCAGTACATATTCATTGTTTACTAATATACAGTATCCCTGCAGTACATATTTATTGTTCACTAATACAGTATCCCTGCACCACATTTTCATTGTTTACTAATATACAGTATCCCTGCAGTACATATTCATTGTTTACTAATAAACATTATCCCTGCAGTACATATTCATTGTTTACTAATATACAGCAACTCTACAGTACATATACACGGTTTCCTAAAATACAATATCCCTGCAGTACATATTCATTGTTAACTAATGTATAGTATCCCTACAGTACATANGAGCCGATTCTATACAGATCCGAAATATGATCCGCACTTAACAATTAATTAATCAATCAACCTGAAAAAATCCTCCAAATCTCCGATTCTGCAATCTGAAGGAAGATTCCCAATGAAAACTCTAAACGATTCCTTCGGCATTGTAAACTGTGTTTGCCTTATCCAGCCTGAAACAAATTAAGTTTTCTTAGAATTTCTAGGGAGATAGACGCGACGTAAACGTGGCCGATTCCAAATAATGGCGTTGAAATTTTAAATGTGCGGCCCCAAATATTAAGGGTGATCTACATCCTTTTAAATACAAGATACAGCATTACTACATTAGCTATGTGCTTCATTATTATTAATGGTTGTATATACGAGAACTGTTCAGTTGATAATGATATGCACATGAATAATTAAACAGATACATAGAAATAAAAACAATTCATTTATTGTCTTTTTAACAAATCATTGTTTAAAATTGAGATTCAACACTTAATTCAACTTATAACTTTGCCACTTTTATCGTGATGACAACAGTCTGAATTTCAAAGGATTACTTCGAGTTTCGACGTTCATTAGTTCGGCATTTTTATTTGTTCAGTTTTGTAATTCTGTTGCCTGCTGCTACGGCGTTGTATTTACAAATCTCCTAGACCCAACACATTTGGTATTTAAACCTTTTAACATAGTTAAAAAATACTTTCATGGTTATAAATTAATCGAACAATTTTCTAGAATTATAACGCACTGCAGCAAATGATTTGTTTAGCCTAAATTAAAAGGTGTTTTGGAAGAAATATATCAGAATCTAGCCGCAAAAATTCACAGCCATTGGATACGAGTGCAATTGCCGCAGCACACATTTTTCTTCTAAATTGGTGGATGGCCAAGCTATCGGCTCATTGCTCAAATTGACTTTGTTATTTGAGATAGCATGGCAGTTAGCAGATTTCTGATATTTAGAATATCTAAATTTCTGACCTTTTAGATTTTTAGATTAACCCTAATTTGACCATTTTTACTGTCATGTAAGCCCGCAATTCACATACACACAGTTAAATATTAATTTTAATGATATCATGCGAATTAAACACATTATCGTGAAATTCAAAAGTTGTCACAGTAGATGTAAAGATCAAGTGCCGTAGATCATCAGTTGCTATACATAAAGTGTTGACTTAATGAATGAATGAAATAAGTGATAAAGCAATTTATTTATAAAGTAACTAAAGATATTTCATTTTGTTAGACTACAGGATGGCTCCTCATCACAACAATCAGGACACCATTTCTGAAAGAAGGTATAATTTATTTTAACAATTGGGTCATTAATAAAGTCTAGTAAATTAACGCCTGAATTCAAAGAAAAAAAAATTAAGTCTGTCCTAGTGAACGATTTTTGGACCCACCCTCAGGCCCCCCCCCCCTCCTATCAATTTTGTACATGACCAAATTAGTTTTTAATTAGCATTATTTAAAGTTAGGAATTAGGTTAAGACACTTTCTGGGTCGAGCGCTGCGGCTATGATGGGTGAGGGTGCCGAGCGCTGCGGCCACGGGTTAGGTTAGTTCAGACACTTTCTGGGCCGAGCGCNCAATGGGGGGGCCTGGGGTTCCAAAAATCGTTCTCTAGGAATATACCAAACAATTATTTTATACAGTCTGTACCATGGAATATTGACGTCCTTGAAATTGCTACTTTTAAACCTTTTGGGGTTTTTCAAATCAAATTATCAGTTATCGAAAGTTATATTTTTCCCTAAAATTTGTATTTATAACTAAACTGTGTTGTAAAGGTTGAGACCAATTTATGATTGGTTAGATAATGGAAACAATAAGAAAGCTCTTCAGGAAGCAGAGAAGGTATATTAGTAGAATTTATTTAAGATTACTGATTTTAGTGTGGTTTCCTTGTAAGCTGGATTTTTTGATCCCCCGGAATAAATATTGAGTCACTGAAGTCTAGATAATTAATGCCCAAATTCTTAGAATAAAAAGCAATTATTTATACAGCCTGTTGTAGTATTTAAAGCAGGCCGTAATTTATGACCAGATATTAAAACCCCTCAACCCTTTGTCCGAATCTAAGCTGAGAACCTGTAGAATTGAATCAATACACTCCAGGACTTTATATAGGCTTGACGTTAGAGCTTAGCTCCGTTTATCCAATTAAGGCCAGGGGACTTGCACTTCATGGACAGCTCTCAGACTGATATATCTTTATCATCACTACCATCCTCCTTCCCCATCTTTCAACATGAATATACATCCTCGGAGTTCTCAGCATCCCTTAGGATATTTGAGGACGCTCTTTATTCTCCACCTTGTTCTGGGATAGAACCACTGGAGACACAGAGCAGCTAGAGGATCCAGTCTTTATTCTCCAGTTGGATCTATGAACAGAGTTACTGGGGCCTTGGAGCAGCTAAGGTGTTGTGGATCCAGCAGCAGAGCCAGAGGATCCCGGGACAGGAGAAGCTGCTCTTTACAGACAGCTCTTCACAGATCTATTGTAGAGACTGTTGATGAACTTGATGCAGGAGACGCTGCTCCTTGTAGATAGCTCTTCACGCCAGTTCAGCTGAGGAAGCAGCTAGGAATGATGTGGAAGCATCTCAGATTGTGGGAGCAGCTAAATTAGCAGATACCCCGGAACTTCAACAGTAGCAGCTAGGTTTACAGTAGAAGCAGCTAAGGAACCAGTAGTGAATGGGAAGCTGTTATTGAGTGTTCGCTAAGAGATATTGACGTGGAGCAGTAAACAAGATATTGAGTTAAGGAAGCGTCTCAGATAGAGTTGAACTGGAGCATCTCATAGTGCCAGACTCTAGGAACAGCTTTGCGAGCATCTCAGATTATAAGGACAGCTAACGTAGCAGAGACTCTATGAACAGCTCCAGGAGCAGATAAGAATGTAAGTACGGCTAACATAGCAGAGACTTTAGGGGCGGCCGGGGAGCAGCTGGGATTACAAGTACAGCTCCCAGAATAGCTCAGATCGTAAGTACAGCTTACAGTACAGAGACTCGAGGAGCAGCTCCAGTAGTTAAAGAAGAAGCTGAGGACACAGTAAGAGCATCCCAGATTGTAGGAGCAGCCAGAGTAGCAGAAAATCCGGGAGCAGCTATGGTAGTCAAGGAAGCAGCTAAGAAGGTAGTGGAAGCTCCGGAGAGACCTGGGCAGCTGAACGAGATACTGTAGTTGAGTAAGCTGCTCAGACAGATCCTGAACTGGAGCAGCTGAAGATTTAAAGGAACTGATTAAAACATGAATGAACCTTACAGATGTTTCCAATAAATAAACTATTAAACCGATCAAAAGATCGGTTAAAGGGATCGATACTAAATGGGTGCAAATGATTGATCTCGAAAATCTCTAGGATTTACATCTGGCTTGTATTTTAAAGAACACATTAATCATTACACTGTCCTATGTAATTATGACTTTCTTGAAATTGATACTTTGATCTGTTGGATAATGTTTGAAAACTTACGATATTTTTGACAAGATTTAAATTAATTTTTTTCAAAAGCTCTTTGCCGTATTGATTCGATTTTTGCGAACGCCATTACTGAGGGATAAATATTTTCTGTAAAAGTGACCAAACCCCCTTGTAAAGTAGAGTTGGTGCAAAAAAAAATCAGCTTTTTATTACCAATTTCATTGGAATTTTTCAGTTTCTTTCTCTTCGCAAATTTTTTGCTCGAGGATGGGGGGGGGTCCGATTTTCATTATATTCAATAATTAATTTCTCTAATCCTCTAGTGCAGCGTTGTATTTCTTTTTATTTTAAATAATTCTTCTTGTAAATTTGAACTTCATATTAATTGTCCGCCAGGTGCTACGTAAGCAGCCAACCTTTCAATGCTGTCGAGCCCTCAAGAGTTTGGCACTCATGAGGTTGGGGAAAGAGGAGGAGGCAATGAGTATTCTGGACAAGGTATTTATTTATCATAAACAGGGTCGGAGATCCTCCCCCCCCCCCTCGAAAGACACAAAAATCAAATTGTTTCTGAATTATGTTTTGGAGATGAAGAGCAGATTTTATCCTTTCTGAAATTCTGTTATAACTAGTTCCAGATCTCAGTTTTACGAAAAAATAACGAAAACAATCTTCAGATTTTTAGCTAAAAATTTTTAAGCTGAAATTTTTTGATTTCAGAGAAATGAGTAGATATTTACCGAGAGATTTTTTGGAACAAACAGATTTTCTATATTTTGGCAAAGTATTGCGATTTCAAAGCATTAATTAAAAGACTTGATGCTTATCTACTTACTGAACTAATGCCTAGATACTAGAAGAGTGTCCTACAGATGAAGGAGCCCTCCAAGCAATGACAATTGGATACAGAGAGATGAAACTGCCGGACAAAATATGTACATTGTAAGTAATAGTTTTTTCATCATAATATTCATAATAATTAATAATCAAAATTAATAACAATCATAATTGATAATAATCAAAATAACTTTAACAACATTGAGATAAATAATTGAATAATAATAGCAAAATATCAAAAAGTAAGATAGCTATCATAGCATTAAAATAACAATAATACAAGTTTAGGATAACTATCACAATATAAATATTAGCGAAGTATTTAAATAACTTTGCCCCTAATAAGATAAATATTATAATACTAGGCTTTTAGGGGGCTTCGCGCCCATCTTCTATTTAAATTGTGAACATGTTCTTTTTGTTTACATTTTAAAACAAAGAGAAAAAAAATTTTGCGGATTTAAAAAAAAATTCGCGGATTTTCAAGAATTTAAATTTTTTTTACAAAATTAAAAACCTTTAAAACACATTTTTAAAAAAAATTTATCATTCATAAACCTTCCTTGTGGTCACGTGATGTCCCACAAAAAATTTGGGCCTGATCGGTTCTGCTGTTTTGACGTTTATTGGATACAAACAAACAAACAGACAGATAAGCCAAATTTATATATAGATTTGTAATGTACTTTCAATATTGAGAGTTCCATATTATTACTAACGACCTTAGCTAAATATTATTGTGGTAAACCCTGTTTTTCGGTCAAACAAATTGCATCCTTTTCGTTAGAGGTTTCTCAAAATGATTATAATAAATTATAATTGTAAAATTTCTTCAGATATAAGTTTTATCACATTTTAATTGATTCAACTTCATCTTAAAGGGAGTGACCGGCTATGTAAGGTAATTGAACTGAGTTGGAGTGTTGTCGAAAACTTCTTTAGGATTCATTTGAGACATATTTCACTTTTTAAAGATCTGTAAATCCTGAGTTTGAGCGCAAATTCGACGTTCAAAACTCCTACTTTGGGGATGGATACGCTTTCAGAATTAGTTTTCCTTAAATTATTAAATAACGACAACGAAAAATAAAGTAAAAATTATACAGTAATCTAATTAGATTGCTAGGAACATATTTCACAAAAGAAATTTGTCAATAAATCAATGCTAAAATCGATTATTTCGTTTTCATTATTATATTGAATTTCTAATTTTCTTTGAATTTATTCGCAGATTTCTTCAAATTCTTTAAATGTCGTCTTTTCAATAATAATTATAGAAAATCTGCGAACATCTTTGTGAATAACGACAAACTAGAATAATGAGATAATAGAAAATAATAATTGAACAAGATTACTTATTTTCGATGATAAGATTAGTTTTTATTTTCTCAAAATGTTCCTAAACATGACGTCTGTAGTTTATTGTAGAATATTTTTACATTTTGTGTTGTCGTTAATTAATAATTAAAAAAAAAACTAATTCTGAAAGCGTATCCACCCCAAATCAGGAGTTTTGAACGTCGAATTTGCACTCAAACTCAGGATTTACAGACTTTTAAAAAGTAAAATATGTCTCAAATGAATCCTAAAGAAGTTTTCCGCAACACTGCGTCCTCAGTTCAACTACCTTACATAGCCGGTCACTCCCTTTAATTCAGTAAAAAAAATTTATAAAATCGTGGATCTTTTAAGGAACTTGGATGAAAAGTTCACGTAGTATAAAACTGAGTTTTTTTTCAATGTTTCATTCATACTTTATAGTTGGTTCATTTTTTGCTGTTTTTTTGCCTTTACTTTCCTTCATGATAAAAAATTTGACAAAGTGTAAGAAAAGCAAATGTTTTCCAAATAATTTATTCTAAACATTTACTTTCCTTACATTATGACCTTGACAGAAGATATTGGCAATAAAATTAACAAATACATTTATCAAGAACGATGCAAAAACTGCCGTTTTCTAGATATTTTTTCCTTCTTTTTTATGATTAAGATATATCAAAGTTTAATAAAAGCAATTTTTAACAGAATACAGATTTTGAATCTTAAAAGTTTTATTAAATTATTTTAAAATACAACCAAAACCATTGACACCAGTTATAGCAATTAGCAACATAACGTGTTGTCAAGCTCTTAGAGTAATGCACTTGATGCATTAAGTTTTAAAAAATTTCTTGAAAATTTCTTAAGTATTCATAATTAGATTAATTATAAAATACTAATTAAGATATGAGAACGCAGTCAAGAAAGATCCATACAACGAAGAGTTTTTGTCCCATCTCTTCATGGCCTACGTCAGACTGGGCCAATTGAAGAGGCAGCAGGCAACTGCTATGAGCCTTTACAAGGTATTTTTTGAAGAATTTTAATTAAATCAAGATATTCCCAAACATTTTGACGTTATAAATGTGTGTACTGTTAAGGTAAAAATGAAAAATCCATACTACTTCTGGTCAGTTATGAGTTTAGGTATGTTTTTATTCTAATTCATAAATAAAATCTTTATGCATGTTTCATAAACTAAAAAAATATATTTTTAGTTTTGCAAGCCATTGAAGGGGATGAGAAAATGGCACAAACCGTGAGGTAATTTTAAAACTACAAGCTGATCTTATTACTTTTGAAATTAAAGTCCCAGAGAATAGTTTACCGCTCTTGGATTTATGTTTGTTTTTCCATATTATGTCTGAACTTCAAATAATTAATTTTGTTTCTCATGCTAATTTGATCCTAGATCAGAAACTTATTATTATTATTATATTTGATCGCCAGAAAAAAATTATTTTTTCTTATTCGCCCCCCCCCCCTCAAAAAAAAATATTTGCAAAAAATCTTGCTTTTTAATTATGTTGCCTAAAACTTTTAACTTTTTTCACAGGATCCGAATATTAAGCTTCAAAGTATTAAGAGTAAATTGCCTTATTATAGAATTTAACATAGATTATTTGTTGAAACTGCGAATTGTCTTTTTTCAGTTGGATTTCATAACAATTGTTTAAATCGAAAAGTTTTTTATTTCACTAACAAAAAAAAACTTTCATTGTGGCCATATTGTTAACCACAAAAAATGGACTGATATGTGCAATGGAAAGCGTATCAATCGGAAAGCATATTTTCGGCTTAACTTTTAAGAAAATACGTCCTACATTAGTTTACCGTTGGCGCTGAAGATGGTTCAGAAGATGGACAAGGAGGGGAAGATGGAGCAGGAGCAGGAGACAATGCTCTACCTTATGATACTGGAGTTAAAACAGGATTGGAAAGGTAAGGAGCAGGACACAATGCTCTACCTCATGATACTGGATTTAAAACAGAATTGGAAAGGTAAGGCGCAGGACACAATGCTCTACCTCATGATACTGGATTTAAAACAGGATTGGAAAGGTAAGAAGCAGAAGACAATGCTCTACCTCATGATACTGGAGTTAAAACAGAATTGGAAAGGTAAGGAGCAGGAGACAATGCTCTACCTCATGATACTGGATTTAAAACAGGATTGGAAAGGTAAGAAGCAGGAGACAATGCTCTTCCTCATGATACTGAAGTTAAAACAGAATTGGAAAGGTAAGGAGCAGGAGACAATGCTCTACCTCATGATACTGAAGTTATAACAGGATTGGAAAGGTAAGGAGCAGGAGACAATGCTCTTCCTCGTGATACTGAAGTTAAAACAGGATTGGAAAGGTAAGGAGCAGAATACAATGCTCTACCTCATGATACTGGATTTAAAACAGAATTGGAAAGATAAGGCGCAGGAGACAATGCTCTACCTCATGATACTGGGGTTAAAACAGAATTGGAAAGGTAAGGCGCAGGAGACAATGCTCTACCTCATGATACTGGGGTTAAAACAGAATTGGAAAGGTAAGGCGCAGGAGACAATGCTCTCACTCATGAAAATTGTGTTAAACTATGATTGGAAAGGCAAGGACTATTTTTTAATGATGTACTATGGACATTATCTTAATCACAGAACTGTTGGTTAAAAGTGCATTTTAATACTGTGGATGTTCTCAAAAGTCCTCTTTCGTATATATGCGGTGGATGCACTCAATAGTCTTCTTTGAAAAAACTGTGTTTTACACTGTGCACTGTGCATAGTATATTATAGTATTGTACACTGTTAAAGGTGTTGTGAATATACTCAATATTCCTCTAGGGAAGAGCTGTACTGCATTGTGCATAGTGTACATCATATGATTGTACAATTGGTGCTGTGGATGTACTCAACTGTCCCCCTGGAAAAAAATGTACCGTACAGTGTGCACAGTACATTATTGTACACTGTTAAAGGTGCTGTGGATGTACTCAATATTTCTCTTGGGAAGAGCTGTAGTTTATACAGTACATTATGTAGTTGTACACTGCTGAAGGTGCTGTGGATGTTCTCAAAAGTCTCCTTGGGAATAACTGTACCGTATTGTGTACACAACTCATAATATTGTATTGTACAAGGTGCTGTGGATGTACTCAATAGCCCCCTAGGGAAGAAGCTGGAAAACTCTGCGTCCTTTCATCTTCACTGCATCAATAAGGAATCCAAAACTACAAGATTACTAATTTATATTTATCTAGAATCAATATTTTTTTTTTTTAAGAGTTAAGACTGAGTATTTTTTTATTTACGTTAATGTTAAGGAGTTCTCATGTTTATTGTACTTATTTGACTGAAAATCATAAAAATGCACGTTATAAGCGATCTCGATTCGTTGATTTCCACAAAACATTTACATAATCCTGAAGTAAAATAATTTTTTAAAGTTTAATCTTAAATTCATGTTATATCATTTTTAGTAAATATTTGAACATTTAATTTCTTTAATTAATTTTCAAGTACTTGCAAATAATTGATTCTCAACACTGACCTTAAGTTTTTGAATAGAGGATAGAACTGGAAGAAAGACTAGAAAACTGGCCTGAAGTTGCTAGACTCAGCAGAAATATACTTCTATCACAACCAGACAGCTGGGAGACAGCTACTAGTTATGTCAGAGCTGTGCATTGTATACAGGTACACAGCTGGGGGACAGTTATTAATAGTTCGAGCTTTGCATTATATAAAGGTAGAAAGCGGGGAGACGACTACTAGTTATGTTAGAGCAGTGCACTATATACCTGAAAGACAGCTGCGAGACAGCTACTAGTGATGTTATAGCTGTGCATTGTATACAGGTATACCCATGCGAGACAGCTATTAGTTAGGTCAGAGCTGTACACTGTACAGTGGAGACAGCTACTAGTAAGGTCAAAGCTGTACACTGTACTCTAGTGGAGACGGCTACTAGTTAGGTCAGAGATGTACACTGTACTCTAGTAGAGACAGCTAGTAGTTAGTTCAGAGCTGTACACTGTACTCTAGTGGAGACAGCTACTTGTTAGGTCAGAGCTGTACACTGTACTTTAGTGGAGACGGCTACTAGTTAGGTCAGAGCTGTACACTGTACTCTATTGGAGACAGCTAGTAGTTTGATCAGAGCTGTACACTGTACTCTAGTGGAGACAGCTAGTAGTTAGTTCAGAGCTGTACACTGTACTCTAGTGGAGACAGCTACTAGTTTGATCAGAGCTGTACACTGTACTCTAGTGGAGACAGCTAGTAGTCAGTTCAGAGCTATACACTGTACTCTAGTGGAGACAGCTACTTGAGGTCCGAGCTGTACACTGTACTCTAGTGGAGACAGCTACTTGTTAGGCCAGAGCTGTACACTGTACTCGAGTGGAGACAGCTACTAGTAAGGTCAGAGCTGTACACTGTACTCTAGTGGAGACAGCTACTAGTAAGGTCAGAGCTGTACACTGTACTCTAGTGGAGACAGCTACTTGAGGTCCGAGCTGTACACTGTACTCTAGTGGAGACAGCTACTAGTAAGGTCAGAGCTGTACACTGTACTCTAGTGGAGACAGCTACTAGTAAGGTCAGAGCTGTACACTGTACTCTAGTGGAGATAGCTACTAGTAAGGTCAGAGCTGTACACTGTACTCTTGTGGAGACAGCTGCTTGTTAGGTCAGAGCTGTACACCGTACTCTAGTGAAGACAGCTACTAGTTAGGACCTAGAACCCCAAGACTATCGTGGATGAAGGATATATTCCAAACAATATTTAATGTTTGTACTGAACATAGGATGAGTTCAGATCCTAGTCAGTATATTTACCCTTGCTAAAGTTTGCAAGGGGGAATGATAAAAAAGTGTTTTTTTTTTCTCTTCATATTACTTTGAAAATATAACAATAATTAATTAGGTTATAATTACAATTGTTGCTATTAATAAACAAGATTAACATGATTAAATAAATGTTATTTACCAAATTTACTGTAGGAATCTCTAAAAAGGAGAAAAACCCTTTACTCTTTTCTTTCATACGTAGTGAAGGTTAAACTTGAACTGGGGTGGGCTAAGCACTATATAAACCATACAGGTAGTTACATAGTAAGGAATTTTGTTTTTCCATACAAAGAGTAATATTTACCTTAACAATGTTATATGATTTAAGGCTAGATGACAGACGGGGGTTAGCAATAATGAGTAACCATCTTTTTAATAATAAATTTTCAATCTCATCTTTCTAATTTTAGAAATCTGGAAGAAAGGGAAGCTTGAAAGAGATGCAGTACGATCTTAAACCCAACAGAATCGATAGGTAAACGGAGAGTAATATTGAAATTATTGGAAAGTAATCAATTAATTATTAGAATTTAATAAACCCAAACTAAATGAATTTAAAAATGTTGCTTTGTTATTTGGAAGTTTTTATAATGCAGAAGATTTTTTTTATTGACAGGGGGTTCCAGGTTACCTACTTTAACTTTAACTTTAACGACGCCAAACTGTTTTATATGGTGTTAATAACGCTCGGCTCTTGAAGTTTTATTTCTTTGTGTTCAATTCAATTTGAAGGCCACTGGTTGGGGTTTACTGGGTTTTCTGAAATATATTGCTATTGTTATATTCTAGAACCCTAGTCGAGGCTGAGAGTTTGATGGATTGCCTGGGGAAAGGGTATCCTGGGCTGAGAGGTCCAAAGCTTGCTAAGCTTGAAATCTGTTACAGAACTATGGTGAGAACAAAAACGTATTATTTTTATCTTTTTAAGGATGGGTGTCTTCTATCTCTACAAGACCTATTAATGGATTTTATATTAAGGATGGGTGTTCTCTATCTCTACAAGATCTATTAATGGATTTTATATTTAGGATGGGTGTTCTCTATCTCTACAAGATCTATTAATGGACTACATTGACGTGTTCGGCACTAGACCTGTCTGCTTCTCTGATATAAAGAAGTATCTCAAGGCTATACCACTAGAGCAGAGAAATAATTTTATTCTCAAGTAAGTGTGTGTAATTTTTTATTTTGAATTTTATAAATAAATCTTATTATTGGAATCTTGAAAATACAATTTACATTTATACATGTGCATTACCCATAAAGTCTACCATCCAAAAATATATTTTTTCAGTCCATTTTGAACGTACATTTTGAAATGTGGTTTTATGAACTGAAACAATTTCATTTTCAACCCTACAAAATAATAATTTTAAAACAAATTACAAGGATTTCGGTTGAGATATTAAATATTTAAATACCGCTAAATGAAATTCTTCCCAAAAGCGTACTTTATGGTTTTGATACTTCTGGCCCAATGGGACATCTTTACGCTAAGCTGTGAACTAGGTTATTGTGTATTTTTGAATATGTAAACAATATTTTTACGAAATCAAATTTTAGTTTGTAATTCTGTTCGAATTAGATTTCATTTTTGAAGAAAAATAATTCCCAGAGCAATAGAACTTTCTTTGTAAGAAATTAATTTATAATTTGCTTTAAAAAGGAGGAAAAACAATGATGAAACTAATTTATTTTGTATAATTTCTATTTTTATCCGTTGTTTCTGTTCAGAGAAATAAGTGATTTCTAAGCGATTTTCTGAGGATTTATTTGTCTTTTTCTTTTCACAGACATTTCGAATTAAGATAAATTTCTCCCCCCCCCCCCTTCATTCTTATGAACACTTTCTTTATATTAAAAAATTATTAAGAAAGATGAAACGAGTCTATTTTAATTTTGCATAGCAGAAGAACTAAAGTAAAATTTATGACAGTGGTAATAAAAAGTGCAATTTTCATCTGTAATAGCCATTTTTATGTTTCTGAGTGGTCAGTAAAATTTATAAGTGGTTATGTTTGAATGGGAAAATTTATCTAAGTAAAGTTCTAGGAGAACATTTTTGCATCAATAAAAATAATTTATAATAACTTAATCTGTAATTATATTGTTAAAGGAGGAATAAATAGACTTTTGCACTACAATTTACGATAACATTTTTTCCAAGTTTTTGTTTCTTTTGAAGTCAACTGTGGAGTCTACCCGTGCTTTGCTTTTTATTCTAAACCTGCGTTTTGGTATTTTAAAGTAAAAAAACGAAGAATATTAGGTTTGCCTAATTATATTGGCTAGAAACTACCGTTATCCTAAATAATTTAAGGTTCTGCTTCAGTTTAAAAACATTTAAAAAATTGTTGAAAAAAACCTAATTTTTTGCTAATTTTATGATCACAAAAACATGAAATTAAACGAACAAATATAAAATCATAACAATGTGAAACTCTAGGCTACGTGAGAGATATCCTGATGAAGTTCCAAACTCGTCTGGAGAGATCTATCGAGAGATCTGTTTGAGTGGTGTTGAGAGATTTCTTGGCAAACATTCTGATCTCAGGAAAACAACTAGAACACTCGGCATTTGTTTTGTCTCTAAATTTCTTAATCAATTAACAGAAATAGAACAAAAAAATTCTTATCAAATGCGACATATTGATTCTTAAAATATGTTTTTATAAAATGCATAAAATATATATTGTAAAATATATTAATACTAGCCATAGAGAGCGCTTCGCGCCCATCTTCTAAATTAATTGTGAACATGTTCTCTTTGTGTATACATCGTAAAACAAAACAAAAATAATTCGCGGATTTTCACAAAAAATTTCGTGGATTTTCAAAATTTAAAAAAATTTAATGAAGATCAAATTTTGATGGAGACAAATATTTAAAATTTCAATAAAAGGAAGAGTTTGTAAGGAAAGGATATCTTCATTTGTGCCCTGTTCTTATTGTTCTGCTCTAGTACTGAGATGGTTGAATCTATTGTGAGCGGATTAATCAACCGATACGTAGCTTGTCAACCGCTGGTGGCTCACCTAGAGAGAACAGAGCTACGACCCTGTGACGGATATCTAGTGATTGCTTCACATCTACTCTGGGAGAAATGGGAGACAACCAGAAATATCAGGTTTTTTAATGAAATAAATTATTTCTTTTCTTTGCCGACCCTTAGTATACTGTTACTTCAATTTTATGGTTAGAAATCCACGCCAAATACGCACAAGGCTTACTATAAATGACAATTACCTTTTATTGTCGAATCATTCGTGAAATTGAATCCGTAGGCAGTCTTAAGTTTTGATTTCGGGATTAAATTTCCATGTTTTTTCTTCATTCTTGGATTTGTAATTTATTTTGGTAATTTTGCTTTAAGATTTTTCCTGTTCTCTTGTTCTTTGCTTCGTCTTGGTTTACAGTACAGTCCGTCCAACTGGCAAATGAAGTTCCTACTTATCAGGTAAATCTGGGACCAGATTTATTAAATAGTCAGAAGAAGCTGAACCACGTAGTTCAACCAATTTTTTTATGTGCTGGTTCAAGAATAGAAGTAGTTGAACCAGGTCTTTACTCTTTGCGGCTCAACTATGCGTCGTTATTTATTAAATCTTGTTCCTGGTTTTAATAAACATTAAAAATTTATAAAAAGTTGCATACTGAGACTTGGAGTAAAAATTATAAATTAATGCCTTTAGATGTATCTACAGTCTTGCACTTTTTCCTTATATCATANAGTATGGAACTTGGCCCGACATTAGAAAGAATAGATAGTTTTTGACAATTAGACTTAGAGATAGGTTTGATAATGTGATAGTGCTATATTGGGATATTGGGGCTGTAAAACATTGGGACATTGGAAGATTGGGACACTTCTAATTCGTTGAGTGTACTAAGTACAAATAATAAAGAATGACGTTTGTGTTCCGCGCAGATATTGTACTACATTCCGACATCGTATTAAGTCTAGTTCTAATTAAATACCAAATAGATGTTTGATATTACAATATGCATGATTTAAAATGAAGTAAGATTGAGTTTATTTGAATTGATTTGAAAATAATAACATGCAAGACTTAAAATTCAAAATCAAATAAAATCAAATTTGTTTTAATTCCTAGGTTGTGTGGTCGTGCTGGAGCAGGATCCTTGTGTGACGAGGTTCATGCTGGTATAGATGTTAAGCATATAATACTGGATACTCTTGGCTGGGTTATACTCAGGGTACTCTTTAGTTCTGGACAGGTACAATACTAGGCGTTTAGGACGCTCCTTTTTCGCAACAGTTTTGGCATAAAAATTATAAATTTCGACATTTTAAAGAATGGCTTCAATTTATGTTAAATGTTTTTAGACTGACCGTTTAGACCGGCTTTACTGTCAGATGAGCCGATTCTATTCTCATTCTCCCAAGGAAACGATTGAATACATAATACAGGTCAGGTTTTTTGAACGGATTTTTATACCCCTTTCTTTTGGATTCAGTTAATTGAGTCAATATCGTCTTCATTTCAAGAATAAAACCCACCAACAAGATGCGATAAATCCCCTGACAAGTGCTTAGGATTCATTTAATTTTGATGCTGATCCGGATCCTGGATCCGCAGTGGAAAAAAATCCAGGTCATTTCTTGAAAATTTACTAAAAAAATTAACAGCATAATTTGCAAACTTTTGTCTTATTTTTTTTCGCTTATTTTTTCCCTTAAAACTGATGAACCATTAAGAAATCAGGAATTTAATAGTCTCTCTTTTTTCAATAGTTCAGATTTTTTTTTTTTTTTGGTTTATATTCTTCCCCTTGGATCTGGGTCCTCATATTTTTGCGAATCAAGATCCGGATCCGGGAAGCCAAAATCTCGCGGGTCCTACGGATCCGAATCCTAAGTTCTGCCTCTGACAAGTAGTTTTTTCTCAGAATAGACAAGTGCTTTTTTAATCTTTTTTAATCTTATTGGAAGATTTTTTTCTTGATGAGGAAGCCAACATTCTAAATTATTAATTTTCAGATAGAAGTTTTGCTTATACGAAGATTAAAATTTTTTTGTGAGTCGGGCTTGCATCTCTTTAATATAATTCTAAAATATATCTTTTTTTTAGGCATACAAGTGCGGGAACTTTTCTCAGATTTGTGATATCTACAATCTTAAGCGTAGAATACAGACAAGTTTCCTCTCACATCTGGTACAGATAGATAGATTGATGTTTGATCTTCTCTTCAAAACCCTCAACCATGATCAGGTAGACAGATTGATATTCTCTTCAAACCCTTCATCCATGATCAGGTAGATTAAATTGATCTTCTCATCAAACCCCTCAACCATTATCAGGTAGATGGATTGGTCTTCTCATCAAACCCCTCATCCATGATCAGGTAGACAGATTGATATTCTCTTCAAACCCTTCAGCCATGATCAGGTAGATTAAATTGATCTTCTCATCAAACCCCTCAACCATTATCAGGTAGACAGATTGATATTCTCTTCAAACCCTTCATCCATGATCAGGTAGACAGATTGATATTCTCTTCAAACCCTTCATCCATGATCAGGTAGATTGAATTGATCTTCTCTTCAAACCCCTCAACCATGATCAGGTAGATGAATAGATCTTCTCTTTAAACCCCTCAAAGATGACCAGGTAGATGGATTGGTCTTCTCTTTAAACCCTTCATCCTTGATCAGGTAGATTAAATTGATCTTCTCTTCAAATCACTCAATCATGATCAGGTAGATGAATTGATCTTCTCTTTAAAACCCTCAATGATGATCAGGTTGATGTATTGGTCTTATCTTCAAACCCCTCTCTCTACCATGATCAGGTAGACAGATTGAACTCATCTTCAAACCCTCAATCATGATCAGGTAGATGGATTGATCTTCTTTTTAAAGCTCACAATCATGATCATGTATATGGATTGATTTTCTCTTTAAAGCTCACAATCATGATCAGGTAGATGGATTGATCTTCTTTTTAAAGCTCACAATCATGATCAGGTAGATGGATTGATCTTCTCTTTAAAACTCACAATCATGAGCAGGTAGATGGATTGATCTTCTCTTTAAAACTCACAATCATGATTAGATATTTGAATTGATCCTCTCTTAAAAGCTCTCAACAATGAATAGGTAGGTGGTTTATCTTCTCTTCTCTTCAAAACCCTCAACCATGATAAAGTAGTTAGATTGATGTTTGATCTTCTAATCTGGTCTTACATTCGATCTTGTATAGGTTAGGTTTACGAAGAATACAATATTATCTGTTCAGGCCGTGAATCATGTTGGGTATCCTGAATACTCTACATGGGATAATATACCCTGGGATAGACTTCGGGATAACAGAGACTTCAGGTAAAAACAGTCAGAGATGGAAAACTGGAGTTGGGAATTTTTTTTATACAGACTGAGTTAGTGTAGCTATGCTCAACTAAACAAAGGTCGACTTGAGTAATTGATCCAACCCGACCTTGTTTAACTACTTTTCATTATTTATGAATTTAGCTTCATTAACTTATTTTGAACTTAGGACGATTGTATCCTATGAACCCGAGGAGACTGCTACAACAGAGGAACTGGTCAATGATAGCTTCAAGGTTAGTTTCATTCAGAACCTTCAATTTAATTGAAGAGAGCTCTCTTCAATTTAATTGAAGGATAGCTCTCTTCAATTTAATT